GGGGGGGGCGAAGCCCCCCGGGGTTGGCGAGCGAAGCCCCCTAGTTTCGGAATAATAATTAATTTTGGCTCGCGCCACAAAAAAAGTTGCCAACTTGAACCGAAGTACTTGCATATCCTTAAGGGGTGCCTCAAAATTGAGAGCAAATTTAAGGCAAAATCGTGGCTGTCAAACGGTTGCAGCAGGTTTGTTTGTTGGGTACAACTTGACGACAAAATGCCGACAGATTGTAGCAGCAACTGACTGTTATTGGGGTTGTTTGGCGATTTTCTTTCGTCTAGTTCAGTTCAGAACCCTGAAGGTTACAATATTGACAGAGCCACATCTAGATAGGAAACTGCCAAACCTGTTGAACAACCCATGATGCCATCATCATGACCTCATAATCACTAAACAGAAATGATAACGACTTTCGTCTCGCGTGATCTGTCAAAGCGTTGATTTATTTGATACGGGCTTTTGTACGATAAATATTCCTCGCATTAGTCAATCCACTCTTGAGTATTCCCCGTAAGATCTAAGCAATTTATTCCGCAGCTCAACAGAAAGCCGGGGGAAAGGTGCTGCATTGTTGTCTTTTGCATTCCTCTTTTCGTCTTCCATCTTGGCGAGACAATTCTCTAACAAAGAGACCATCTGAACAATAAAAACTGTTCCGACCGACATTCATCTCTGCCTTTCTCTGAAATACAAGTAATTTAAATTAGAATCTGCAACAAGGAGTGCTACCTATCAATATTTCCAGCGATTTTCTGACGCATAATACGACAATTTGTGAAGATGCTTGGGACTGGTAATAAAGGTTAGAATAACTGTTCGTCTCTTCTTTTTTTCTCAGCAATCTTTGATATTTCTTTCTCATTCCTTAACTACGAGAATAGAACATCTAGATTGATTACATAAACATAATTTATCATGTTCACCAGATAAAGATGGAAAATATTGGTACGAATATCTGGCCAATGCCAAGCAAGACCCAACGCTCGCATCTACCGTACTCCGAGGTTTCGCCAAAGTACAATACGGTCAACCACAAGTGGAATTTCACATAAAAACATTGCAAATATTGGGCGCATCCCTGGAGGTGGTATCAGAGAGGGTAAAGAGCAATGTCAAAGCCCAACATTTCAGGAATCGTGGAAATTCCTTGCTCTCGTCCAATGCAGACGCAGCTAAGGTTGTCGAAATGTACACACAAAGTATCGCCTACGCATTACCTGGCTCTGGAGAGTTGGCATTGGCTTATGGCAACCGCTCAGCAGTTTCATATAAGAGAAGGAATTACGAGGACTGTTTAATTGACATAGAAAAGTCCCTCGAAAGTGGTTATCCAGACGGAATGAAAGCAAAACTTTACGCTAGAAGGGTCAGGTGTCTAGTGGCTTTGGCAAGACCGAAGGCAGACGTTCAGAAAGCTTTGGCAGACACTAGAAATGCAATGTCTAAGATGGATGAAAAGGCGAGCGGAAGGGATCTGGTTGTAAAGACACTGATTGACAGGAATCACATGGCTCCAAGGGACAACACGGAGAATTGTTCACTTGTCGATAAATCGACAAAGGTGAAGCCCAGAGTACAGGATGACAGTTGTGAGATACCTGGGGCCACCGGGATCAAAATTCAGTATTCAAAGAAGTTTGGCAGACATCTCGTTGCTACCAGAGACATTCGACCTGGTGATATCATTGCTGTATTCAATAACTACGCGAATGCACGGTCTCCAGAGAAATGTTATTATGAGTGTGCTCAATGTACTAAGACGACAAATGTTGGCATTCCGTGTGATCATTGTGTCAATGTCATTTACTGCTCGACTTCTTGTCGTGATGAAGCATGGAAACTTTATCATGAGATTGAATGTCCTGTATTGGGAGTAATATTGGATCTTGGAGTCCCTACGAAGACTCTCTTGGCCGTGAGAATTACGTTGAGAGCACTCAAAGAGACCGGGAGTGTTTGTCAGCTCAAGAAGCTGCTGACAAAACTTGACTCCATTTCTGGTAAGGGGAGACCAACTCACCGGTTATTTCTGTACAATTAACGAGAATTTGCGACAACTTAGCGTTAACCAAATAGATTAGGCCAATCGAAAAATTTATTTCCTTAATTGATAATTATGAAGAAGAATCAGAAGTGACAATTTGTTCTTCACTTCGATGTACTCAAAATGAGAATTCTTTTGTAATCGACTATATGTGTACATTCACGCGCACTTTGTCGCATCTAGTTTCTGAGATATTCACGTTTTTGTGTCCGCAACTCCCGCTTAAATCAATGTTAAATTTTTTCTTTTATCTGCTCTAATGACGTCATTTTCCTCGCTGTCGAGGCCATCTTGCGCTTGAAATGTACGAAATGTTATCAATATTATCGGAGTAGACATAACTTCATATAAAGTAGCCCTTTTTCACGTGGACGTCCACATATGTTCAATTTTGAAGATTAAAACTTGAAATAAATTCTACGGGAAAGTTAATATGAATAGAAACATTCCAGTTGAGTTCGTACTCAATCGACAATCTCTCCAGATTATAAAAATCGAAATCGACTTCAGGTGATGAAAATTTGGTACTCAAAATGAAGACTCCAAAAATGAAGGTCACAAGGGTCATGAGGGTCAGAATAAGGGTTAGATGGACCAGAGTAAGGGTCATATGGATCAGATCAAGGGTCACAAGTTTAATGGTCATAATGAGGGTCAGATTAAAGATCCAAATAAGGGTCACAAGGGTCAGATTAAGGATCACAAAGGTCAGATTAAGGGTACAAATAAAGGTCATGGGGGTCAGAAACTAAAGATCACAAAGGTCAAAATAAGGGTGTCTATATATCTTTCTTTTCTGTATTATAAAAATCCAAATCGACTTCTGATGGTGATAATTTGGTACACGAAATTAAGACTCCAAAATTAAGGGTTAAAACAAGGGTCACGAAGGGTATTATGAGGGATGGCATGAGGGTCAAGAGGGTCAGAATAGGGATCATTGGGGTCATATGGGGGTTGGAAAGCTAATTCATGTAGAAGTGTGAAAATAACAGAGTATTATGAGAAAATAAACGAATAGAGAAAATGTAACAAAATTATGAAAAATAACTAAAAATTATATGTTTAATATAAAAATAATCGTCAGCGTCAAAGCTTTATTCTAAAAAATTTATGCTTCTGCGTGTCCGAAATGGCGAAATCGAAGAAAAAATTAATGGTTTAATTCCTTACACTTATCAAAGTTGGAATTCGTGTAACAAATTATCAACGAAAAATCATCATTTTTTTGGGCTTTTTAAATGCATTTTCCTCGTTACCCTCAACTTAAATGGAATTTATTCATGTTACTTAATTTTTTCTAGATTCAGAAACGGTAGGTTTCACGGGCAATGTATTTGATTGCTCGAAGTATGCCTCAGTTTATTCATTAACCAATCACTCAGGAAAGCAGCTGAGATGTCACGATTACTGCGTATCCCTGATGACGACTTTTGCAGTCTATTACCTAGCCACACGAACTGAGATATTTGGCCAGAAATATGATGCAGATCTTCGAGTTTTCGACAAAAATCCATCGTTAGGTTTCGTCGCAGGACTGATGATAAGGAACGGTGCGATCGCCGATGAGACTGATGCAGGGGTAAATTATCGGATTTATAAGTCTCGTACACTGAGAAAAAAATATATTTTTGCCAAATATTCATTTACTTGAGAGAAGTATTTATTTTTTCAAAATCGTATTTCTTCAATCGGGTCATTCCCAGGCGAGCCTGACTAAGTTTCAATTACAACAGTCATGTTGCTCTAGAGGCTGAATATGTTGCACATGACCTTGGATGGACTCTTCTAATGATTATTCATATTTCCAATATTTTTCATTTTCTATAGGGAAGAATTTCGATCAATTTTTTAATGTTGATAATTATTGAAGAAGTTCACTGAAGGTCACAACTAACATGATCATCTTTTAGAGCAATATAATTGACATGATTGAAACCTAATGAGGATTGCCTGAGAATGACTCGAATGTAGAAATACGGTATTGAAAAAATAAATACTTCTCTCAAGTAAACGGATATTTTGCAAAAATATTCTTTTTCTCAGTGTATATTAGATGCATCATTACCAGGCACATGATATCGTTGTAGGATACGTTCGTTGCACCACTCATAGCACTCTGCAAGCACAGCTGCAATGCTAATGTAATGTTTATGGGCTTCAATAACAACATTGCATTCGCTGCTGAACCGATCAAAGCAGGTGAACAGGTGAGTCCAAGTTTTTCAACATAGGGGAGGGTCGGGTAATATGGACACTAAACTTAAATAATGAGTTGAATTGGATCAAATCTACTGTTCCGCCTTTTTAATGGATTGCCTTTTTCATTTTTTGAAGATTTGGACCACTTATCTAGGCTTAGAGTACATTAATGTTCCAAAACCAGAGAGACATCAACTACTCCAGAGATATCACAAATTCTCCTGCAAATGTGTAGCATGTGTGAATAATTGGCCAATAGCTAATCAACTCCCCAGTTATGCAGTAAGTAGATTATTAGTATCTTTATATTTCTACCCTGGAGAAAAAATATTATTTTTGCCGAGTAAAGATGAGACGAAGTAATTCTGAAGATGAAGTTTATCAGGCCAGTTCCTTTCAGATCTGAATTTAGTGTCACAGTTTGAAATTATGCTTCATCATAAGCTAATTATATTGTATATCGTCTTGAAAGAACTCCACTGTTAGAAAATTACTCTTGCAATTTTCAGTGACAGAGCTTGAAATGTTGAACAACGACAAAGTTACATGAAAATTTCGGTATATTTCTTCGTTGACGCATCAGTTAATTTCTTGAATATTCTAGTAATTCTCGATTTCCAGGTCCATACAGTACTGAAAAATGTCGAAAATTGTTAAAATTCAGGCAAAGACTTTTGTGAATTCTCAATCTATTAAAAATTCAATTGCACCTAATATTTAATTTTTGCAATGGGTTTGAAAATTCATTTGAAGGTCATTCGATTGAAATTCAGCATCACATTTTCCTTCTTCCCCCTCTGGGTCTCCTCCTGGGCCGTCCTCTAGACTTTGGATTTTTCTGTTTCATTTTCTTTTCAATTAATGCATTGGCAAAATCGGTAAGTTTTAAGAAGGAGGGCGTCACCACCGATCCGATGCTCAAGTTTTCTGAAAGATCGGTGGTGGGGCCCTCTTTCTTAACATTTTCCGTCAAAACTTTTCAATATTTTTCCATTCTACTGAATGAAAAATTATTATTCTCATCAGTACTCCCAATAATAAAAAAAGTTAATAAACAAAACTTAATAAACAAAATTTGTTTGCTTGAATTGCGTCAAACAGTCATTTCTCGACTGTTTCATTTTGCCCCACTCTCCCCTAGCTAATTGGTTCAGAATAGCAGGGGAAAGTGTGACCGAAATTATGCCATGAGAAAACGTGACGTTACATGAGAGTTATTGTTTTCTCACCTGGCCGATTCTAAACCGTATCATTATTTCGTATCCCTACTGTATGAATTCGTTTTCCATTTTATAATTGACTAGGGTGATGATTCTTATTTGGGCCCTTATTCTGACCCTCATGATCATTATTGTGAGCCCCATTATAACCCTCGTGACCCTTATTTTGACCCTTCTGATCCTTAGTTTCGCACCCTTAATTTTGGAGTCTTAATTTTGAGTACCCAATTTTCATCACCAGAAGTCGATTTGAATATTGATAACATGTAGAGAGCCGCGTATGACCCTCATGACCTTTATTTAGACCCCTACTCTGACCCTTGCGACCCTTAATCTGACCCTCCTGCTCATTATTCTGAGCCTCATTATAACCCTCGTGACCGTTGATTTCGAATACCAAATTTTGATCCCCAAAAGTCGATTTGGATATTTAAAACAGAGAGATAATATAGAGACAGCCTCGTAACCCTTATTCTGACCCTCACGACCCATGTTTTGGACCTCATGACCGTTATTTTGACCCTCTTGACCCTTATTCTGACCGCCGTGACCCTTAAGGAACTTCCGCAGTGATTATATGGGAATAGAAGGAAATGGGCTACAGAGCTGAAATTTTCAGAATGAATTATTTCAGTAATTTGGAAATGGCAGTGTCTATTCGCACGTAGAATAATTGTAAAATAATTGGTATGATGATCAATATGATCATTGATAATATCATTGATATGATGATTAATATGATGATGATTATTGTTTTTTTATTCATTCCTAAATGAATGAATGATATCACATTGAAGGAAATATTATTTATGATAAGTCTTATGATAAGTATTTATGATAAGTGTGAAATTGATTTTTATATCAAAACATATCTAAATTGCCTAATGGTTGATCATGAGAAAAAAAAACATAGTATTTCTAAATTTTTTTAACTCACAAATTATTCTTCACTTCCCAAATTTTAATTTTTTCATATTTATCACACGGCAAAATGGTCAATTCTTGCTTTTCAGATTTTCATACAAAAATTTTAAACTCTACAAAATTCACGACAATTCTTCGGTTTCCCAAATAATTCGAGAAAAATCTGTGATCTACGGTTATCTGAAAAACTGAAATTTTCCGAAGAATTCAAGAAATTTTTTCAGTTCTCTAGGAAATCAATCAATTCATAACCCCTGATTTTTCAACAATTACAGATTTTAATCAGATTATTTTAAAAAGTAAAAAAAAAAGAATTAATCGAAGATTAAAAATTATTCATTGATGCTTCACTCTTCATTCTCTTCATTCTCTTAATTCTCTTTAAGTTATTATCGATATTTATAAAACATCTATGAGTATATGAAGTTTAATAAATTCGATTTCTTCATTTGCACAACAAAAAGATGAGCGCGCGCGAAAGCGCGCGCACAGATCTAGTATATAAGATAATTGATGGAGTCATTTGAATTTTAGAACATGCCAAGGATGTCCCGCACAACTCGAAAGTTGTTGTCCGATGCTGTATGTGCTTACTCCCTCAAAGCTATGGTAACTAAGGTCTCTGGAAAGCTTTTGGAGGCCAAGGATGATCTCGTTAAACTGCTTGAGTTACTCTTTGAACACGCCTGTCCTTCTCGAGAGATCGTTAATTATCAAGATGAGTTGATAAACATTATGTTTTGCAGTCACGATTTCTCCTGATTCCTCAGGAATTTGTAAACATCATCCTGAAGCCATTGAACGTGAATTATTTTGGTTTCAGGTTTTTTTAATGCTGTTGTATTTCATGACCATGCAAATTGTCAATGTTATTTTTTAATCGTTCAATGTGAAGACTTAGAAAATGTGTTCAATTAATGAAGTCATAATTGAGCCAAACATTGCTCTTTAAGCAGTGGATGTATCATATTCTTATTCGGAGAAACTGTCCACTGGAATTGTCTAGCGAATTTGCTAGACAATTCCAGTGGATTTCTATTGAACTTCCTGAGTTTTTAAAATATTCAATAGAAAATACTCTACAGAAAAAATCAATAGAATGTGATTTTTCTGTGCAACTTATTCGATTGAGATATTTTCTGCAGAATTCCCTCGTCTCAAATTTTCCACGGTTTTTTGTTCGATTTCTTGATGAAAAGAAACGGAAAATAGAATGTAAGAAATACATAAAATTTGAGCCGAGGAAATTCTATGGAAAATATCTGAATAAGGTGCATAGAAAAATCCAATTCTATTCACTTTTTCTATAGAATATTTTCTATTCAAATATTTCAACAGAGACTCGGTCAAAAAATAATAGAAAGTTCAATAGAAATCCGAGAGATTTGTCTAGCGAATTTGCTAGGCTTTGCTATGAAATTTTTCCGTGTGTCGACGTCGGCGGTGAACATAAAGTCTTTTCGTAATTTTTAGGAATGCATGTTCCTTATCCTCAAAGTTGCTCTTCTAAGCAAGAAGCTCAATATTATTTTTGAAAATTTTTTGTAATAATGTTATAAAATTATCGTGAGCAATGAATTGTGCTATATTAATATTAAATGTAATAAGTTATTAACAAAGACGACTAGAATTTTGAAAAGTGTGAAGGAATAATTTGTGTTTAATTTCTTCCTCTCCGATCTCCATGTCTATATTTCCTAGTTTTCATGGCAGAAGTCCCAAAAACTTTTATGATAACAGGAGAATTTGCTGAACGATGACAACCGATCGGAACAACTTTTGAACAGCTGTTCGCGAAGTGAAATGAGTGAAAAATATAATCAATAGTATTAAATCAAATCAACTATCGTTCAATTTTTTGCGGAAAAGAAATCAGTAGCGAAGTGGTAAAACGGTTTAAGTCGACTTATCTCCCAGTTGAGTTTTTGAGGAATATTTCCGAATCTAAGGGAGATAGCGATATTATCCTAATTACATTTGTTGCAGCTCTCAATCGGCTCTCTAAAAAAGGTGATAACAAAAATTTTGATATCTCTCGTAGATTCCGAGATATTCATTGAAAACTGGCCAATAGTCAAAATTAACTTGTACCGTTTCATCACTTCGCTACTGAAATAATCTTCTCTAGTTGGCAGAGTCTAACACGTATGAGAAAATTGCATAAAGAACGGTAGTGTATTCGTTAGACAATATTATAATTGTATAATATTATTAATGTATTGGATTTTTATTGGGAATTCTAATAGGTGCTTTTTAGCCAATTCTTTTGGAAACTTCCTAGACTTAAGACTCAGTATTGCCAATAGAAATTATTCTATAGAAAAATTAATAGAATTTGAGAATTTTTTTGTTCAACTAAGGCTATTGAGATGATTTGTGAAGAAATTCTTAGGTCTAAATTTTCACATTTTTTTCTATTGTTTTTAGACAATTCTATTCCATTTCTATTAAACTTTCTATCAGTTTTTGGTCGATTCTATTGAAATGTTCAGTACAAAATATTCTACTGAAAAAGTCAATAGAATTTGATTTTTCTAACAACTTACTCTATTGAGATACTTCTATAGAATTTACTCGGCTCAAATTTTCGAAGTATTTTTCATTCAATTTTTCTTTTCCTTTCATCACAAAAATCAAACAAAGCAACACACGAAGCGTGTCTAAAAAGTTACTTTTTCGCCCAGCGTGATGAAATAGTATGTTTCATTACGAGTGCGGAAAAGTGTTTTTTGGCTCGTGCTATAAACCTCCCACGAGCCAAAAACCACTTTTTCCACGAGTGTCGAACGATATTTTTCATCACAATGTGCGGAAAAAAGACGTTTTAGGCACGCGAAGTGTGCCTAAAAAGTTACTTCTTCGTCACCGCGTGATGAAAAATATTATTCAATACACGGCCTAAAAAACTTTTCTAACCCATATGATTGCAACCCTTGGGCTGCATCCTCATATTCGTTAGAAAAGTTTTTTTAGGCAGTACGACGAAATACACTAAGTTTTTTCCCATTTGGAGGCCCTTCAGAGCCCTAAATTAACCCGTAGATGGGACCGACGACAACGCGAATGACTAAATTCAAATTCCCGTCATTTGTCCACCATTCGGGTGCTTGTAAGATCGTCGCCATTTTGCATTTGCTTGTTCTCTTTCACTGTGGCGATCGAGTTCTAAAACAAAAGATCATCTGAACAATAAAAACTAATCCAACTAAGACTAAACCTGTCTCTTGAATCACAATAAATTAAAAATAGAATCCGAAACACCGAGTGGTATTTATTAATTTTCTTATGCAGTCCACGAGAATCCTCAACGATGGCAAAAACTGGTAAAGGTAAAGGTTAGAATCAATGTCTCGTCTGCTCTTCTTATTTTTCTCCCACTAATAATTTCATTCATTCTTCCCTCATCCCTAATTAGAAGAATGATTAATTGTAACTGAGTAAATAAGCCCAATTTATTATTCCACCAGATAAAGATGGAACATATTGGTACAAATATCTGGCCAATGCCAAGCGCGACCCAACTCTCGCATCGACGTTACTCAGAGGTTTCGCTAAAGTGAAATGCGGTGAGTCCCAAGTGCTATTTCTTATAAAAGCATTGCAAAAATTGGGCGCATCTCTGGAGGTGGTATCAAAGAGAGTAAAGAGCAATCACAGAGCTCAAGAATTGAGGAATCTTGGAAATTCCTTGTTCACGTCGGATGCAGATGCAGCTAGGGTTTTCGAAATGTACACACAAAGCATCTCCTACGCATTACCTGGCTCTCGAGAATTAGCATTGGCTTATGCCAACCGCTCAGCAGTTTCATTCGAGAAAAAGAATTACGAGGAGTGTTTGATTGACATCGGGAGATCCCTTGAAAACGATTATCCAAATGAGATGCAGGCGAAACTTTATGCTAGAAGGGTCAGGTGTCTAATGGCTTTGAAAAGATCGCAGGGAGAAGTTGAGAACGCTTTGAACGATACTAGAAAGGCACTCTCGAAGATGAGTGAAAAGGCGAGTGGAAGGTGTATGGTTGTGAAGACACTGGCTGACAAGAATCACATGACTCCCAGGGACAACACGAAGGTTCTTTCATTCGCCGAGAAACCGACAAAGGTGAAATCCACAGTGGAGGACGACAATTGTGAGATACTTGGGGCCACGGGGATCAAGATTCAGTATTCAAATAAGTATGGCAGACATCTCATCGCTACCAGAGACATTCGACCTGGTGAAATCATTGCTATATTCGATAACTACGCTAATGCACGATCTCCAGAGAAATGCTATCGTGAGTGTGCCAAGTGTACTAAGGCGACAAACGTTGGTATTCCGTGTGATAATTGTGTCAATGTCATTTACTGCTCGACTTCTTGTCGTGATGAAGCATGGAAGGATTATCATGAGACTGAGTGCCCTATATTGGGAGTAATGTTGGACCTCGATGCTCCTCCGAAGACACTGTTGAGCATGAGAATTACGTTGAAAGCCCTCCAAGAAACTGGAAGTGTTGGTGAGCTCAAGAAGACGGTGAAGAACATTGACTCCATTTCTGGTAAGAAAACAGGATGATATTCAAGCTGTTAATGAAATAGATATATACAGATTATACATAAGGTTAGAAATAACTTTGAAATAGCTCGGCCGAGTGCGTCTACTCAAAATACCAGCCTTCAGTATTGTAAGAGCTAAATCATGCCAAATTTCTACGTGCTACACTGGGAAAAACAGCAGAGTTCTCAAAGAAGTCTTACTTGTCAAAAAAATAGTTTTATGTTATTAGGCCCGAAGAAAACGCGATCTAACCGAGCGAAACGAGGGCCCAAGGACATAAAATATCGTGTGTCACAGGGCGATAAAGGCATTATCTGGCGAATGTGATTACAATCCTAATAATACTTTTATCCCCTGATGACATAATATACTATTTTTTAAATTATCAAAAAAGTATTTTTTTGTGCCAAACATGCGAAGCGTCCGCCAAGATTGAAAATTTTAATTACAAAAATAGATTGTCTTTTCAAAAAAAATTTAGAGTATGCGCAAGCAAGAAATGTAATTTCTAACAGTACTGCTTCGTTATTCAATGCTCCCATACGTACTTTGCTCCCGGGAAATGCTCGTTTTTTATGAAACGAGGGATTGTAGTTTGTCGTTTCGGCTATTCAATAATCACAGATAAGCAAGTAGGCGACAGCACATATGCGACAGCAGATGTGTTACTAAGCCGTATGTGAATCTCTTTTTTTGCCATCAATAAATTGATGGTAAGCTTCTGAATTAATTGGGCAGCATATTTTTTTTCGCCACGGCGGGCGGAAAGGCAGATTTTCCTCCCGCGAACAAAAAATAACGTTCTCACCACGGGAGGAAAAATAAAGGACCCTTACCCACGTGCTTACCATCCTCGCCTTCGGCTCGGGTGGTAATTTTGCGCGTGGGCACGACTCCTTTATTTTCCCTCCCTTGGTGGGCAATATACTATTTTATTTTTCAAGAGTCAGATCTCGTACAGGCATTTTGAACGAATGCAATTCTTTCATTCTGAAGCAAAAAACAAACGGAAATTGAAAATAAATTTGTAATTATAGTATACTTACTAAATGAAGTACAAAAATTCGTACAAAATTGAATATCTCAGGAACTAATCATCGGATTCAGCGCAGGTATCTGTTGATATCTCGAGATATCAGTTGATATCTCGATTTTTGCGAAAGTGAGAGAGCGTACAAGGATTTTAAACAAAAAACGGAAAAATGGAAATATCTCAAAAACTTTGTACAAACGGGTATACATATTTTGCTTGACTAAGATAGAAGACATCGAGACGAACATTTTGAAAAAAAAATTGAAATTGGTTGCATAGGTTTTGAGATATTCACGAAAAACCAAACAAAAACAAATTGCTTTGTCTCAAAAACTCATGGACCGATCGGACTGAAATTTTACAGGGAGACAGTCCAATTCAATACCAAATATCTCACAAAATTTCAAATTTTTTAGAAGTGTTTTAATCGTAAGTCGTGCACCCTCGCCTTCGGCTCGGGTAATTCTGCACGTGGGCACGACTCCTTTATTTTACCTCCCTAGGTGAGAAATATACTATTCTTCACGTTTCGTAACATTCCAGACCATTTGCAATCAAAATTAGAAAATCGAATGCCTGATTTTTACAAAAAGATGATAATTTGCTATACATCATTAGATCATCGCTTTCTAGGTATATTTAGTCAATTCCATAAATTTCTTTCTCTCATCAATAATCGTAAAGAAGAGTTTAGTAGCGAAGCGGTAAACCGGGTTAAGTCGATTTGGACTATTGGCCAGTTTTTGACGAATATCTGGGAATCTAAAAGAGACAGGAAAATTTTTGTCATGACCTTTTTTGTAGAGCCAACTGAGGCTTATAAAAAAGTTAATGAGCAAAATTTTGCTATCTCTCTTAGATTCCGAGATATTTGTCAAAAAATGGCCAAAAGTCAAAATCGCCTTAACCCGGTTTACCGCTTCGCTACTGAGTTAGAAGTATCCATTCTGCTCCACTCGCCCACCCTTCCACTTCAGTTGGAGCTTCATTTCTAATTAAAACCAATCGAATTCAATTTTTCTAGATCCAAGAGTGACAGGTTTCACTGGAAATGTATTTGACTGCTCAAAGTATGCCTCCATTTACTCATTAACCAGTCACTCAGGAAAGCCCCAGAAATGTCACGATTACTGCTTATCACTGATATCAGCTTTTGCTGTATATTATCTGGCCACACGAACTGAGATATTTGGTCGCAAATATGATGCAGATCTTCGAATTTTCGACGAAAATGCATCGTTGGGCTTTATTGCAGGGTTGATGATAAGAAATGGTGCAATCATCCACGGGAGTGGCACAGAGGTAAATCATTGTACATATGAGTCTCTTAAATTTTACGTGGCATTAACAATGGATGTAAAATTGTTGTAGGACTTTTTTGTTGCACCATTCATAGCCCTTTGCAATCACAGCTGCAGCACTAATGCGGTGATACTGAGTGGCAGTAGGAGTATTGCACTAGCAGTTGAACCGATCAAAGCAGGGGATCAGGTAATTTTTAGCTCCGTAATAAATATTATTATGAACGTCTATTTTGCTCTCAGTATGCATTCCATTCTTTCATCTTTCTATGGCATTTTCTATACAGGTACATTTTATTGATTCAGTTTAATTGAAATAAACGATTTTTTTTTTCAATAAACTAGATTAGTCCGCGCGCTCTGTGCACGTATGTCCTACTCCATGGGACTCAATGTATGTCAATAGTAGTAAATAGTGTTATATCAGATTTCCGTAGTTAATATCAAGTTTTCCGAAGGAAAAGTTTTCGGAATGTATTGTATTTCTTTTACATATAATACATCCAGTGTTACGTTTTTGACACCAATCTATTCGGTGAATTGTGTCATTAGATTTTTTATAAATGATGATAGCATACATTAAAGATATTCTATACTATACTATATTATATAAACTATGTGTAATATACAATACATAATAGAGTACTATATGTATTATAAAGTATAATGTAGATAATAAAAAATAATAATAATAAACTGATAACAATAATAACATACACTGAGTATACAATATTGTGTAATATTACATATACCATTATATATGTCTAATGTATTATAATATAGAATAGTATAATATAATATAATATAGTAGTATCGTAATATTTTTAATGGATGTTATCATTTATAGAAATCCTAATGACACAATACGCCGAATAGATGTGCTTCAAAAAATGTTACACTGGATTTTTTTATCAAAGAATATATTAGGAAATATGTACGATAAAACGTGCATGGGCATTAAAATAACATTGATCAAAATAAATAGGGATGATAGACAATTAAATTCGTCAATGCAATGAAGAGAAAAAAAAAGAATATGATAAAACAAAAAAAAGACTAATATCAGAGGAGATGTTCCGATGGAAAAGAAGGGAATGCATTCTAAAGGGGAAAATAGACGTTCATAACAATACTATCTGAGGATATATGTTAACAAGTTGTCGCCTTCATTTTTCCAAGATTTGGAACAATTATCTCGGCCTGAAGTACAGTCGTGTTCCAAAAGCAGAGAGACAGCAATCGCTCCGGAAAGAATACAACTTCACCTGTGATTGTGTAGCATGCGCCAAAAATTGGCCAATGTTTGACCAACTGCCCAGTTTTAGAGTAAGTTCGCAGATTATCAGTATCTTTACATTTCTACCTTGACAGGAAAAATTGCTTTGATCAAGCAAAAACTTTCATATGACCAGATCCACGCCAAATTAGCAGGACAAAAAAGTCGATGCTGGGGATTTTCGTCTCAATTTTTTTCTGAAAAAATGGCAATTCGACAAAAATTTTGAAAAAAAAAACAATTGAAAAATATGGGTAATGGAGGGAGTTATGAGACAATTATTGAAAATGACGGAAGTTTTTCATTGAGACAAGTATTGAAAATGACGGAAAATAGATATTATTCATGCAATTATGGCCCAAATAAGTGAATATTCGGTTAAATATTAGCAGATGGTGGAGGTTAGACTCATTATATCTTCTCTTATTCTTCAGTATGATTTTTTGAGTGAAAAATTCTTATTTCTCCAATTCAGTAGTGAAGTGGTAAACGGAGATGAGTCGACTTATCTCCCAGTTGAGTTTTTGAGGAATATTTCCGAACCTAAGGGAGATAGCGAAATTTTCGTAACTACATTTGTTGTAGCACTCAATCGGTTCTAGAAAAAAGGTTATAACAGAAATACTCGAGAGGAGAAAGCATGCTGGAGAAGTCAAAAGATCCCCCAGAACAGACGTGAAGTAAATTCACTAGGTTAATTAGGCCGCACGGCCTAATACACGGTCTGAAATAGAGGCTCGTGACGAACTGATAGAAATACTCCTGGCGCCCATTCTACCGTGTCACGCTAATCTTAGCTGGACAACCCATTGTCCAGCCACAAAAGTCCTCTGAGTAGACGAGATTGCCTCAGAGGCCGGTTTTCGTCGAACCTTTCGTTTTCGCCGAGCGATAGAGAAAGCTTTTAAAAAGTAGTTTAGATTTTTCCTAGGTGAGCAACCCGGGAAAATATCCTTACAAGACTTTAAAAAAAGAGCTTTTTTAGTAATTATCTATTGTAAAAAATGACTTCTCATATAAACTCCGTGAAACTGAAGATAATGCTATGCATGGCGTCTCATTTTGAAGGGTTTCATGTCCTTTAAATGTGCCAAAGGGCGATTTCATAGCTTGATACGCCACAAAAATATTACGGCCAATCGGGGAAAAAAAATTTCTTTGACAAAAATTAACCATTTTCAAAAAATCATAACTCCCTCAATCATCAACATTTTTCAAAATTCTTGTCTAATCGCTATCTTTTCAGAAAAAAATTAAGACAAAAATCCCCAGCGCCGACGAAGAAGTTATTTTTCCAAAGATTCTTTTACCAGGTCAGTTACTTTTGAAAAATCCAAATTACGTTCTATAGGTGGATTCTAATTCTGACCTACCACATGATGCCAATTCTACAAATAGCCTTGTATGAGCTCCTTTAATTAATATTCTTATTGTTTTTCATTTTGAACTTACTTGGATGGAAGAATTAATAAGAAATAATTTTGAATGTTACTAATTCTTGAGGGAATTCAATAACACTAAACTGGCCTGGAGGAACCGGCTTCCGGAAAAATAATATCTTCTCAGTTATTGAACTCTCTTTCGACTGTTCCGTATTGAGGGATACATTTAAATTGCAGACCATGCCAGAGATGTCCCCCAGAACTCGAGATTTGGTGTGGAACGCCGTAACTACTTACTCCCTCAAAGCCATCGTTGCTCAGTTCCATGGAAAGTTCATGGAAATCAAGGCCGATCTCGTTAAAGCACTCGAGTTACTTTTTGAACACGCCGGTCCTTGTCAGGAGCTGGTGACCTATAAAGATGAGTTGGCGATCATTGTGTGTCTAAGTCTCGATATTTTCTCATACACTGTGAAGTTTGGGCAACGAATTGACGCCATCTGACTCCATTTTTTTTTGTCAAAATATGTTCAAGTAACTTAACAAAGTTCATTCCAATGCTATCATACTTCAGGGCCCTATAAGTGGTCTACGCTATTTTTCATTCATTGGATATGAAGTTTTTATAAATGTTTGCAACTGCTGACACGATACCTAAATCGAATATTCTTTTTTATGCAGTAAAAGCATGATGTTCTCATGTGGTAGATATCTGCGTTGAACATACAATGCTCTTGTAATCGTTAAAATTCCACATTTCTCATTCTCAAAGTTGGTATATTGAGTATAACACTCAAATAAAAAAAAAAGTTTTGAAATAATATTATAAAATCCTTGTGGACAATGAAACGTCTTAAATTGATATTACATGTAACTAATTTATCAATAAAGATTATTGAAAGTTTAGATAGGATAAATCACTTCCTTATAAATCTGTCGTGTGCCAACCTTTACGACATGTCACAAGTGCGTGTCGCCAGCGTTCGCGGAGAATGAAAACGCACTCTAACGGTAGAAAAGGACACATTTTCGCACGCTCCACACCATCTTCAATCACTATGCTAGAATGTTTTACATGTTTAGGGCCCTCGTCAGTTCTTTCTCACTTGTTTCTTGATATATTATCAAGTACATGAAAAAAATCGTTAAGATAAGTCAAGTTTATTCCATCATTACTGATTCAAATGACAGGAAAAACCATCTACATTAAGGGGTCTACGCACTACTTTTGGGTAAAATATGACAATGTGCTTGCGAATTAAATATATCATATAGTAATAAAAAATGTTAAAAAGGCATTTGTAAAAGCAATTCTAACTACTTTTATGGTTTCTGCTGATAAATTGGGACATATAATTCTCATGCGTCGTATTGTTTTTTGCAATGAGAATGATTATAAACAATTGATTGAAAAAAGGGATATCGAATCCGTCAGGAAAAGTTGCATTTTGAAAGGGCACCACTCAAACTAGTGCGGGTGACACTAGTCAATTATAAAATAGCTAGGCAATATTTCTCCATAATTCTTTCTGTTTAGCTACCTATGGGTTATGTAGCGTCGGTGAATAGAGAAATTCGGGAAAACTGAGCTCCACGAAAGTTCCCTATTGATAGTTGGAAGGGGAGATAACTGCTAACATGTATACGAGAAAAATAATTCACTATTTAGATCAGTCAACGAAAGTACAGTTTATTTTTCAATCGAACATCCAAAGTATTCTTAGAAACCGTAAATAGTTAATGATGATGAGCACACTAATGAAGAAAACCGACCAATACTGCTCAATACTGATGTGATTAGTTCTGCAAACTGATAACATCCGCTTACAATATTTACCGAGTATTTCTTCAATTTTCAGACAGAGCCGCTCAATATTCTTAATAATTTGCTGTTATCGAATCATAATAGCTGGTGATGAAAATATTTTCTTCAAAGAAGAAGGAATAAGATACCTCGAACTCGCTCATGTATTTCTACCCAAGTCGAATGGTAGTGACGCCATCGACAAACAGTAACGGGGAATCATTGCACTCGTTCCAATCGTCTGTCACATGAACATCAACTTCCATCTTCAGAGGAAGTTTATTAGTCCTTCGTTTTGTGATCTCATTTGCCTCCATGAGCAAAAGCTCTGTAATATTAGTAAACATTAATTCCAAGTTCTCCAAATTAGGTGCATTCTTTATTAGTTCGATGAGACCCTCATCGAAAACGGAACTGGACTGGCAATTCAATTTCCTCAGACCCTTCAAGGTGCCGAGAAGAGCACCAGTGATTTTCCAGTTATCGCCTATGTCGAGTTCTTCAAGTTGGCGTAGTTTCCTAAGATGTCCAATTCCTTCATCAGTCACGTTGCATTGTGTGAGCGCTAAGGATTTGAGATTTTGGCCAATATCTGAGAGCACAATCAGAAAGCTGTCGTTGATCTCCTTGACAGACGAGAAATTCAGGTGTTCTAGATTGGCGAGGAGAGACATAGATGGGAGTCGTTGATTAAGATTACAATATGGAAGAAAGAGACTTTTGACGTGATGCATCTGATTCAAAGCATCCATCATCTCAGAGCTAATATTAAAGGTGCTCAGGCAGATCACCTCCAACTTGGTGAATCTCTGAAATGCCTACAGGAAAAATAGCGAATTGAATGAAAATGTTTATCGTCTCTAAATCCAAAATATCCACTGCGAAAATTGAACGTTCATCATTACCTTGGCTGCTATAGGGGAAAAAAATCCCGGAATAGGTTGCCTGCTCACATCGTTAGGGTAGAATATAGAGAGGCGAATTTCGGTTAAACTCTCCGGAGACAGAGTAGGGAGAATTTTTTCAGGAAGACTTTCTCCTTCTTCCTCTTTATATGCCAACCGAAATTTTTGCATCTTAGGGAAAAATGCAGCCCAGTCCCAGCCTTGGAAATCGTACGAAATGTCAATGGTCGTCAAGTTTTCACAGTAATGACCAACTAGTGGCAGCAGTTTGCAGTTTGCTGAATAAGAAAGCTTCAGGTGCTTTAGGTAAGTTCCAGATCGCTTGATAATTACCCCGAGCCATTGAATCGTTCTGTACTCGTCAGGTAATTCATCGAAGGTACTTGGTTCATCAGCATATTGCTCAAAGTCAACGGTTTTAACGTTCTGCCAAGCCAATGGAGAAACTTCCTTCCAACGTTTGCAAACTGAGAAATTATAATATTTCAATTCATACTTTCGAGCAATAGTACATTAACGATGTTCAAGCGAGGTGTAGGATATTTGAAAAATGCAGCCAATTTTATGAAAATTTTTTCACATGTTATTTAATTCATATAGGCACCGCTTGCAAAATTTCAGAAACCCCAGGTTCAGGACAACAACAAACATTAATTTTAAAGTTGCTGCTTGTATATAAGGTTGAATGAGTCATCTATAATTTCAGTACTTTTTCCACATGGCCGACTGGTCGAGAATGTAGGGAAAATGTACGAGTTATCAATGCTCCCTTTATTTTTTATTGATAATTGCAAATAACTGATTTGAAACGATAACTATTTTTAATGGTGTGCATCAAAGCGGTAAGTGGCGTACATTTTCCATTTGCATCAAATCGCTATAGAATGTGATGTGAATTCAAAATTTTCTTCAATAGTTACTAAATCTCGAAGATCGTTGTTTAATTAAAACATTCGATAAATCTGAGATTTTTTTAACGTTAAATTTGAGAATTTACTAATCTATTCTTTGTTTCTTTCAATGACTTGCTAAAATCATATGTAATTTCTTGAAAATTGCACCGAAATATTCTTCCATTTATTAAAATATAAAAAATTACGATAAATGATCTCTACAAACTTGACGAAAAAAAGGATATGGCAATGCAATTGAATTGAAGAACAACTGATTGCAGTGATTCTCCAATTGTCATGAGCGATGATTATTTAAACTTACCTGTATTGATAATGAGTTTATCCCTAATTGGAAGATGCTGGAAAATCATGGCCAAACAATCATCGTTCAAAATGTTAAGTGAGTCTGGAACAGGTGATTCACAAGGCTGCCCAGTTTTTTTCATGTTTTCGGAAGTTGCTTGCTCTGTGAAAATATGATAAAATAATTTTTCAAACACCTTTGGACTATGAAAAGTCACTGCAAGTTTTAATAGAACTACATTTCTTTTGAGGGAAACAATCTCTAATCGAATGGACAGAGATTCCGCCTATAACACAGTTGTCAAGATGGTCCACATTTGGAGAAAGATTGATAAAATAATTCAAAAATTGCAATTTTTGAAAATTACGAGCATTTTCTATGAATGATATATCAACAAAATCATTTGTTTAAAATCGTAACAAATTTATTTGAAAAAAAAAATTATCACGCAATTTAATTGACAAATTCAATGATCGAAACAGGTTGAATCTATAATGTGGTCTGTCCCAAACTGTAACAAAATACATGGATATCCTTAATTACAATTGTTTCAAGCTATGAATTTTCTTAATTTATAATTCGAATCACATAATTAAGTAATTTATTTATGCCAAACAAATGCCCGAAATTTCCACCCAAAACCTCCATTGAACTTCCCGCCTCGGACGAATATGCTTTGCATACATAAATAACAAAAATGAATAATACAAATCTTCCTGTAGTAGACATTCTTCTGAAATCCATGGTAATATTCTCGTTAGAAAGCAATAAAACGAATGGAAAATATTCTTCTAACGTTCCCTGCCCCTAATTACATTCTGGTAATTTAATTGGCAAATTTAATGATTGAAAATGGTATGATTGGAATGGTAAGTCATGGCTAACGTTCGAAGAATATTTCCCATTCGTTTTATTGCTTTGAAACGGGAATATTACTTGGTATTTTCTCTACCTCATATGATTACAGAAAAGTTCTTCACGGCCGTGTATCAAACAGTATTTTTTGTTATTGGGCTTAGTGACAAAAAATTAAGGTGAACAGGCCCCTTACTGGACGGTTAAGGAAATTCGAGTTTCGTGGTAGAATCTAAAATAAAAGAATCACCTATAAATGGGGATATAATGGCTTTCATACCTTCAAGAATGTTTTAATTGGTAGAAAAACATTATTTAAAGTGAAAATAACAAAACAAAGAAACCCCTAATTTCTGCACAACTGGGCCATATATTTATTTATTTATTGAATTTTGATCAATTCGCGATCGTAACGTAGATGTGAGAGCCACCAAGTGGGCTTTAAACTAACTACTCTTGGGGGCCAACCAATGAAATCACTGGGAGTGAACCAATGATCGGCGTCAATCATTGAGATCCCTGGAGAGCGATTTTGCTCGTTTTATGTCGACATAAAATCGTAAATTTCAACTAATGACAGTCCTGGGGCGTGATTTTCCTCGTTTTATGTCGACATAAAATTGTAAATTTCAACCAATGGAAGTCCTGGAATCGGAATACTCAACTAAGATTGGTTGAAATTTATGATTTTATGTTGACATAAAACGAGCAAAATCGCTCCCCTGGGTTCTCCGTGATCTCTTTGGTTGGCCCCCAAGAGTAGTTAGTTCTGAGACCACTTGATGGCTCTCACATCTATGTTGCGATCGCGAATAGAAAAAATAATTGATCACATGATTATACACGAGTAATATTATTGAAAGGTGAAATAATGAGTACAATTTTCATTTTATTTATGGAATATTCAGGTTGAAATCGTCCAGAAAATAACCCCTGTCCAGAAATTGACTTGTTTACCCTACAATTTAATTTCTCAACTCCGACCGCTGCTGCGGATTGCGTCGTGAACAATGAAATTGTCATAAACAACGAGGATGTGCCGCATTTCCTAGTAATCGTCATGAGAATTTTCATCAGCTGCTTCGAAAATCATGAGTCCACTGATGAAACCCACTGAAATGCGCAATGGATGCGGAACGGAGTACAGCGCATGGATAATATTGTCCAGCGTTATATTTCGTGAGAAAATACCCACTCTCAAATTAGGGTAATTGAAAAAAAAATTGATCGAAAAAAAATTGCCATCGAGGGGTCAAGAATGATAACAGTTAGTGAAAATTCGAGGCAACAATTCACATTTCAGTATGGTTTGCGTAGGGGAGGGTAGGGTAAAACGGACACTTGACTTTTTTTGAAATATTTATGACGTGTTGAATTGTTCATGAAATGGAATAATTTTATTTTCCAATTGAAAAATAATGATTCTTCTTTGTGATGAGCTTAGACTGAGCTCAATTGATAAATCTGTTTCTGAGTTATGAATATTTTTAAAAAAGTCAAAAGTGTCCATTTTACCCTACCCTCCCCTAATTGTCTATCCAAAAGTAGCTCGTCTATCTACTGGGTAGCTTATACTAGTAAAAAATAAATCTGATCTAATTTAATAAAATGAAACAAACAGTGAATTATACACGATAGAAAGAAATGATGTGCAAAATAACCATTCCGAAGAATATTGCTAATTCATTAGCAACAATAACAATACTATATGCAATCCAAGAGGAATTCCCCATTTGTTTTTATTTATTAAATGTCGATCAATGGAAAAAATAATTGATCACATGACTGTACGTGAGTAATATTAGGGGAGGGTGGGGTTAAATGGAGACTTTTGACTTTTTTAAAAATATTCATAACTCAGAAACAGATTTATCAATTGAGCTCAGTCTAAGCTCATCACAAAGAGGAATCATTGTTCTTTCAATTAAAAAAATTAAATCATCCCATTTCATGAACAATTCAACACGTCATGAATGTTTCAAAAAAAGCCGAAAGTGTCCATTTTACCCTGCCCTCCCCTATTGAAAGGCGAAATAATCAGTACAATTCTCATTTTATTTATTGAATATTCAATGCAAAGGGAAACGTCCAGAAAGTAACCCCCGTCCAGAAATTGATCTGTTTACCCTATATATTGAAAATTGATAATTCACATCGAACCAAGATTACTCTCGCATCGACTACGAAGAGGTTAGAGCTATTCCGAGGGCAATTTTGTGGGGCAATACTTACTCTTGTGCTTTGACATGATGCGGCGGTAATGAAAAAGCTCTCTTGCATGTAATTCACGATGATGAGCCAGTTATTTTGCAGAACTTCATAGAAAAAAACACTGAAAATCAAGACGTGCTTCCGTTGTTTTTCTTATGCCCCTGGATACCGCTTAAACCGCGCAGGCGCTTCAGCAGCCGTACTGACAGTGGCGCCAATTTTTCAAACCATTTTGTTTTTCACTCTTGGAAATTTCAATTGGTCGCTTGGATGTTGATGGAGATATCATAAAAATCTCAAGTATGCATTTAAATTGTTAATGGGATGAATATAAAGGATGGGAATGACAACGGAAGAAAATGCAAGCACGACCGAATTTTATAGGAAAACTTCTAGCGATATCGCTAAAAAATTCTATTGGATTCTGATGAGAAATTCGGCAGCATTTTCCGCAGTCTTTGCTTTCAATAGAAATTGTTTCTCAGTGAAAATCAGCAGGGGGAGGTGGGGCAAAATGGAACGGTGGAGCAAAGTGAAACAACGGTGTTTTTTGCATTGTGTTTTTACGTTTTTCTATCGCACTGCGGCTTTTTGTGGCTAGACAACCACCAAATAATTAACCATTATAGCCATTTTAGCCCGTGTTCCACTTTGTCTCGGCGTTTTACTATGCCCCACCCTCAACTAGAATTTGATTTTTCTATGTAACTTATTCTATTAAGGTTTGTTTTCTATAGGAATTACACGACTCAAAGTTTCCAGGCTTTTCTGTTAGATTTTTTTCATTGAGATGATTTAGTAATGATGTGATGATGATTAACTTTGGAAAAAGGAGAGAATTTAAAAATTTGAAAATAGGGAACTTGCATGAAGCTCAATTCTTTCTAATTTCCGTATTCACACATTCTTCGTAACATATGGAGAGCTAAACGGCGAAAATTATGGAGAAATATTACCTAGCTGGCTGAAGGCCCTCGGGCGATGGCCTATTGTGAGGGATCTACTTTGTATTTTTTTGCAATAAATTCCGTTAAATTATAATCATTATTATTACCTAGATGTCGTGTGATAATGAATTGAAAATCAATCATCATCAATCGTCAATTAATCATGGTCGTTTTCGAGGCCAATTTTTTGGTCATGACGACACGAAGGCGGTCAGGTAACGCTTCATTGGTCGAAAAAGAAGAGAGTGGGGAGTTGTCGTCCTCCATTGGCCGAGGCGCACCTCAAGATTGGGTAGGTCGGCAGGAGCCATTCTGTGATTGGTCCAGCGCTCGACAGTCATTAGCGATTTCAAAGCGTTTGAAATCTTTAACTTTTCATAATTAATTATTCATTAATGAGTAATATTTCAAACGTTTATGAATGAAAAATGAATTATTCAGGTCCCAAACTTGAGATTAGAAAATTGAAAAAAATCCATGCAAGTTCCCCATTGTTGTAATTATGAGTAGATACAACTATAGTTTTACCACAAGAAATGCGCAATGAAACTGCAGAATTGCTCAAAACTAATAGAATTTCCAATAGAAGTTGAATGGAAATCCGATAGAATTAATTGGTAATTTCGTTATCTTTTTCTATGAAATGTTTTCGTACGTGCAATCTGGTTCAACAATATAGTAGAGGTACAATTCAGAATTCAGTTTTTTACTCTAGCAAAGATATTTGCATATTGTCTTGTTATAAATTAATTTCATAATTCGTCCCTGTGCTATTTCCTATGTTTTCATTACAAAAATGTGTTATGTTATGGAAAATATATGGAGAATATGTAGAATAGTCATAAAAAATTGGGATTTTGACAGAAAAGAAAGCCATTTGCATTTTTCTGATTCTTTTTTTTATTACAAACACATGTTATTTTATAAAAAACATATTCCCCCATTTTTGCATCCCTGAGGTTTCTGCAAAACAAGAAGAGTCACTATCAATTCGAAATTTGAATCGGCAGATAAATAGTCTGTTTGCTGTTAATCCTGATCACTTTTCTGTGATACTGGTTTACAATCTGTAGAAGTGGAGATCGTTCGGTGAGTGCCCATTCAACCGTATTAGTATCAGTATTGAATAAATCCAAACGAATTCCATTCGTTCGTTTCTTCGTTGCCTGAACAGCAGCCACCAGTGTCTTATTGGTGATGTGAGTACCCTCAAGATTCAACTGCTTCACATTTTGCGATTTCTCGAGGAACTTGATGGCACCTTCATCGCGCACGTTGCAATCAATCAGAGCAAAAATTTCAAGTTTGTGAAAGAGTACCATATATTTATCTGTTACTCCTTGACAGTATATTATGCTCAGTTTTTTCAGATTGGGCAGGGAGGCAAGTTTAGCGAAGCCTTCATCTGTGATACGTGCTGGAGCTGTGAGCAAAGAATAATATAGATAAGTTTGAAAACTAGATAATACTAGGGGGCTACGTCCCCTGCGCATTCCGTTTGCCAACTCCCATATGACCCCATCATCTTTATTCTGACCCTGGTGACCCTTAATCTGACCCTCATGATCCTCATTCTGACCCTCATTATACCACTCGTGACCCTTAATTTGACGCTTATTCTGACCTTAAACTGACCCTCATGACCCATATTCTGAGCTTCATGAGCCTTAATCTGACCCCCGTGACTCTTAATCTGACCCTCGTAACCCTTATTCTGACACTCGTGACCCTTATTCTGACCCTTGTGATCTTTACCCGGACCCTCATGATACCCTCGTGACCTCTAATCTGACCATATAACCCTTAATCTGACCCTTAAAATGACCTTCATGACCCTCAATCTGACCCTGGTGACCCTTTAACTGACCCTCGTGACCCTTATTGAGACCCTCGTGACCCTTATTCTGAGACTTGCGACCCTTACTGACCCTCGTGACACTTATTTTGACAGTCAAGACCCTGATTATGAACCTCGTGAGCCTTAGTCTGATCCTTATGACCCTTATTCTGACCCTTGTGACCCTTATGCTGACCTTCATTATACCCCTCGTGACTTTTAATCTGACGATATAACCCTTAATCTGACCCTTAAAATGACCTTCATGGCCCTCAATCTGACCCTGGTGACCCTTTAACTGACCCTCGTGACCCTTATTGAGACCCTCATGACCCTTATTATGAGACTTGTGACCCTTACTGACCCTCGTGACACTTATTTTGACCCTCAAGACCCTGATTCTGAACCTCGTGAGCCTTATTCCGACCCTTATGACCCTTATTTTGACCCTTGTGACCCTCATTCTGACCTTCATTATACCCCTCGTGACCTTTAATTTGACGATATAACCCTTAATCTGACCCTTAAAATGACCTTCATGGCCCTTAATCTGACCGTCGTGACCCTTAATTGTTGAGTCTTAATTTCGAATACCGAATTTTTATCACCAGAAGTCGATTTAAATTTTTATAGTATAAAGTGAAAACTGCGAAGAGAGATTTTAGAAATATGGATAGCCTCTTACCCTCAAAAGTAAGTGACTCCAACAGTCGAAGATTCTCGGCCAATGCTGTGAGGAAGTCATCATTAACAGGTGGGTGCACACGAGTACGTCTCGGCATTTCTGGGGAGATAATGTAGAGCACTCGTAAGTTTCGGAGATTTAGGATGGGAGTCAATCCAGTTTGCGTCAGATGATTTGCATGGATAGTAGACAATCTCAGTCCTTCCAACTGTATTTTCGTGCCAATGAGTTGTACCAATTCATCATCTATTGAATTGAAATCCAATTGCTTCAGTGAATGACACTTACGGAGGATCTCCTTTTGACACATTAACATTAATGATGGAGGTATCATATTCGATGATGTCATTCCCAATTCCTCTAAAGACTCAGTAGGAAGTGTATGAGAGAAAACTTTGAAATTTTTGAAGCTGATATTCAATTCAAGTACTTTGAGTTTTTTGCTGAGGGCTAGCAATTGATTCAATTGCTTATCCTCTGCCTTTGTTGTCACACAAGTCACTAAAGTCTCAAGGTTGCGACAGTATTTAATAGCTTGTGACAGAACAGAACCAGGTTTTCCCTCACGGGAATCAGTTAGGGTAGTTAGGAATTCTCCGCAACGCTTCATTACGCCTTCGATGAGTCTCGGATTGGATGACTTCAGGATAATGAAATTGTAGACACCAGCAAGACCTGTTCCAATTTTACGAGCATCCTCGTTGATTTTAACATTCTGCAATTCGTACGCGGTGAAAACGGTTAATGTGGGATCCAGAATTGATAATTTCTTCACTGAACGCCAACAGTCATCTGTAATTCGTCGAAATCTCTTGCATACTGAAAAAAATGGTTCGAATGAATCATGCGGAATTCATGTACACTCACTACATAATTTAAAACCCTTTATGACTAACTGAGCAATTTTACTAGATATTGGATTAGATAATTCGCGATGATTTACATGATGGTTTTACTCGATAACTTTTGGATAATTACATTATATTAAGGATAATCGGGTGAGCTCGGAGGTTTGGAAAAAAAGCAGCCATTTTTTTTTTTTTACGTATTCTTTAAATGATGGAAAAGGCGTGTGCAAAGTTTCAGACTGCTGGGGAGCATGGTTAATTTATTATGAATTTTGGAAAAAGTGGTCATTTAACCCGTGATCTTCAGGGAAATCACAAAGAAAAAACTGCATAACCCAAGGAAAATATGCAGCCAAAGTCATGAAACTTTAGACACATTCAGAACATGTGATCAATGATTTTTTGAGTGAAAAAGATTGTCGCCTAGGCGCATTGTTTATTAATAATCGCGAAAAAAGTACTGAAAAATGAAATTTCCGCGCACGCAGCCCAAACCAGCAGCAACGTCCCGATCGGGTGGGGGTAGCGCGGTCAATTTAAACGTCTTTTGAGTGAGAGCGATGAAGCGTTGTGATTGGAGCTCCCTCGAGCCAGTGGTACCAACTCCTAGTGAAAAAAAAACTACCGACGACGTTGGCACTTTTTCGCATGGATTAATATTCTTTCATTTATTTAAAAAAAAAACAATCTAAAAACCATTCAATGCATGGAACAGATACAAATAAATTTGATTAGTTACAAAAATAATTTTTAACCGGAGATACTCCCTGATATTGCCTGAATTTTTAAACGAAATGGAAAAAAATTTTTTGTTCAGCGATTGGTTTTCTGCAGGAAAACAATAGAAACCCCTCGGCTTCACCTCCTACATTTCCTCCTCGCTCGATTATCCTTAAACTGGGATAATTTTCAGTGTATTACTCGCTCTTGAGGAGAGCCGATGATTGTCGATAAACAACTTGATACGGCAGAGGTGTCATTGAGTGATATGTTATGCATAGGGTCAACAGGTCAATTTCTGGACGATTTCAACTTCCATTGAATATTCCTTAAGGGGTAACAGCATGACGCCAATTTTCAAAATTTTTGAACAAATTTCCTGCCGAAAATTGTCGATATTTTTACTAATCAAAGTACATTAATCTCCAGGAGGTGATGATGAAGATCAATGTGCTTTGGGGTTAAATAATATTAATAGCTTGGAGCAGGAAATTTGTTTGAAAATTTCAAGAAAACGCGGTCGTCTGTTACCCCTTAAATAATAAAATGAAAATTGTACTAATCGTTTCATCTTTCAATAATATTACTAGTGATAATCATGTGATGATCAATTTTTTTTCCATTGATCATTTAATAAATAACGCAAATACGGCCCAGGCGTCCAGAAATTAGGGGTTTCAGCTGCATTCAACGATTTATCAATTTAATTATTCCTTGTTTTGTTATTCTGTCTTCAATAATTTTTTCTGCTAGTTAAAATATTCTTGACGGGAGGCAATCATATTCCCATTGAAGTGATTCTTTTATTTTATAAATCCTACCACGAAACTCGAATTTCCCTTAAACGTCCAGTAATTGACCTGTTCATCCTACGAGAGGCGATGACAGACTGCCCGTGTAAGACGAGAAAAAGTTGTATATTTCGGTTGTTTTTGATGAGTTGCAACTTGACCCGAATAATTTGTATTTATTCATTCATTTAAGCTTACTCAAACTTGAAGGCTTACACTGCTACCCGAATAATTGGGTTACGTCGTACAACCTCAAGCTCCCAGGTTCGAGCCCCGGCCGGGCCAAAATTCCACACCAATTTTTCATCACAATTTTCCACATAATATTCAACTGAAAATTCAACACAATTTTCAAACCGAATATTCCACGGAATTTTCAACTGAAAAATCCACTCCACATTCAACATTCCCTGGCTGAAGGCCCTCGGGCGATGGCCGCGTTGGCAAGTTAACCCTTGCAACGAAAAACCGGTGAAATTTGAATTTTAATTCTAGTTGATTCTGGTTGTGATAAAAGTTGTCTATCGGTCAGGGTTGAGTAGAAAATAGCTATTTTTGTCACAAGGCCGGAAAAAACTTTTCTGTTCAAAAAAGCTACCAAAGACAATTGAATTAGTTTTGTCATTTACTAATGCTGAATGAAACAAGTTAATGTGAGGATAAAAGATGATGACGTGACGCATTCAGTAGAGATCGATTAATAGTAAGATTGACCCTTGTAAAATTCATTCCTTACAGGGTATGACCCTTACGGGGTGTGACCCTCGGTATGATCGCGGCGAGATGAGAACTTCGCCAGTTTTATCACCCTCGCGAGCTATAATCTTCACGAAGCTTCACGGTTTACCATGGAAGATAACGTCGGCTGGTTTTATAAATTTTTTTCATTCATTACGAAAATTATAGCTTTTTTACAATCTCATGTAAAAAACTGCATTATTCAACACGGAGAGAAATGTTCAGTAAAAATTACGGAACTCACAGTTCGCTCATCGATTACGGAATCGACTTAGAAAATTTAAGTGACGGTATCGTAATTTTTCACAGGACATTCAGATAAAAATTACGGAAGGCTCTGGAAAAATTACGGGACAGTTCTGTAAAATTTCCTACAACCACATTTCGCTCCGGAATTACGGAAAAGGTACGTTTTTATTGAATGTTTTTCTCCGTGAAGGCGTCCAATTTCATTGCCAGAAGGAATAGAAAAAAGAAAAAACAAACAGTCTTGTATTGAAAAAAGTGTGCGAATAGTTTTTATTATTATTTTTACTATCACTTTACTATTGCATACAACCAGTGTGACTTTCAACAAGAATAATGTTATCAAAAAGGACTCATAATACCAATCCGTCAGTTAATTACAATTGTCAATGATTCAAGAAAATTCTTGATTAAAAAATTACGATATAATTGCAGTTGTCATACACGAAAAAAATTAATAGAAAAAGAAGAACCTAGTAAATTCGCTAGACAACTTCACTGGATTTCTATTGAACTTTCTATTCATTCTTGGTTTATTCCATTGAAATGTTCACTCGAAAGTATTCTATAGGAGAAGTCAATAGAATTCGATTTTTCTATACAACTTATTCTATTGATATATTTTCTATAGAATTTCCTCGGCTGAATTTTTTGTTCTATTTTTTTAAATCAAAAGAATCAAACAAAAAACGCGGAAAATTTCAGCCGAGGAAATTCTATAGCGTATTTTCTATTGAATATTTTAATAAAATCGGCCAAAAACTAACAGCAAGTTCAATAGCAATCGAATAGAATTGTCTAACGAGTGCTAGATTTTTCTATACACGGAAAGAAATATTCAGCAAAAATTACGGAACAATTCACGTAATCCGCAGTGGGGAATCGTTTTTATTTTTATAGGAATGGAAGAGAAGAAATCTGAAACGTTCAGTGAATTTTCAGATTCATCACCGAATAAAGTACGAAATTGTCACGTAATTTTTTCCGAAGAAGTAAAATCTTATAGAAACTTGCCGACTTATTATGCCTCCAAAATCAAAAATTCTTGAACGTTCAACAATTTTTATGAAGCTGGTGAGTTATTTCTACGTTCTGTTCCGTAAAATTTCTCAATCGTTGGGGAAAAATTACCGAACGACTTGTCCCCACAGCGGTGAGTCATCAGACGGATGGTTAATTTTTACGGAACAAATCGTAGGATTTACGTGGCGATTCGTACAGTTTCAGTTCCGACTCACACTTTTTATTGAATTTTACTTCGCTCGCGGATTACGTTTCGAAAGGTAATTTTCACGTTTTTTTTCTGGTGATTTTTATTGAATTTTTCTCTCCGTGTAAAATTTTGTCGTATGCGGTTCAAGATTTAAGTGTACAATAATATTTCTCCGAAAATTTCGTCGAAGAAAAGCCTCTCCTCGTCATTTACCAATATCTTCTCTGCAAATTCGTTATAAAAACCTTGGCGGATCACATAATGTGGAAATTCCCTGTAGACGCGCCCTACAGTTTGAATACAGCGTTTCTTAAATGCAGTCGTTGACCCACTCAAGACTATCGTACAGAGTATTATATCCTCCGTGCGGAAGATCAGTCCCACAATAATGGCCATCACCTCACATGTGAGCCCAAACTTTTCACGGCAAAGTGTCCACAGTTTAGCGCAGGGCACGTAATACATCGTACGCATCTCATTGTCGATCTTCCTGCTCTCTGTCAGTCTCTTTCTAGCTAAGACCCTAAACATTGCAACGAATGTATCGATATTCTTATCCTTGAATGCATCTATCCAATCGTTGATAAACAGCACCCACGGCCAATTCAGCAAATACTTCCATGGGCGGCAATTCATGGGATCCTCACTTGGCCAATCATGGAATTCCATCCCTCCCAATAGATAAGCTACAATAGTCTCGTAGCAATATCCATCCTCATCTGGCAAGAATTGCTGGTGCATCGATAGTTTCAATCTTTCAGTGCCTGTCAATTTATTCCAAAAATATTTAACTGCTGGAAACGACTCGGAGGAAACGCTCTTTAGGAATAAAGTGCAATTGATATTATCTTCATCAAGCCGTCCTTTAGCCCGTTGATCCTGGAATAAGTAATACGCATACTCAAACATATTTTCCCTCGGGAAAATGTTAAAAATTTTGTAGTACCAGTATATTGGCAAATAGTTGACGTTGAATTTGGCCTCTTCCCAGTCAACAGTTTCCGCAAATTTACGGATGTAATCTTCGCTGCAGCAGTCGCACAGCTGGGTCCAAGTGAAAAAATCGATGGTACCTTTGTTGCTAACGTAGGATTCCAACATTTTCCTACTGTCGACGTATCCAACATTGTCGAACAGGATATTGCTCACGTGATACAGTCCTTTCTCAGCTGCATTTGCGTTTGCCTGATTGCGCAACTCACATAGGTAATGCAGCAACCACTCAAGGGTTGGCTTGAACATGTGGTGTGCAAAAAAGCACAGGTTGTCTTTCAAGGGCTTTGCGAGTAGCAATTTGTCAACGAAAGACTCGAACTTTCGCGTCACCGTCCGCTGAAGATCTTCTATCGGAGGACGTGCAGCCCTGGGCTGTTGGACGAAATCCTTGAAGTAGTTTCTCATCTCAGCTTCAGCTTCTGATTGTCTCCATATCACCTCTACTGCCTTCACAGACGCGAGGAACTTTAGTGATAAACTGTGGAAAAACCAGGGATTTATGGACGACATTATCGAAATCAGTTGATGAAATACTGATTTGAAATTTTTTCCCTTCTAATCCTCGTGGCTGTGTCCCCTAACTGTGACTGAATTGAAATTGTTTATTGTTGCAAATTCACATTCACAAATTTCGCCATTTTATTTGAGAAGGTAGATTGTGGCTGGGGGCGCGAGGGGAAGACGAAGGAGAGATTGCCCTGCATACGAGAGTCACCGAATTAGACCGATCATTGATATTCGTTAATTTCAGGAAACCTTGTTGTTGTGTGCGTGAGTAATTCGTTGAACGTGAAGCACGTAAACAGAAGACCGAATCAAACCACGTGTCATAAAAGGTTGAGAAAAAGAGAATGAATGATAAAGTTTACGAATGTGGTTTCGTACGATTTTGTTTAATATTCTGAATCACATAAATGTATGTGGCTCAAGTGTCCAGTAATACTCGAACGATCAGACAATTTTAATTAATACTGTGTGTGCTTAGGGGGCCTGTGTTCATTTCCGATCCTGATGAACATTTATGATAAAGGATAAGGCCATTGCTGCACAATTACAAAGACATTCTCCGAGGAAATTCTGTAGGACGAGCACAGCACTGGATTTTACTGTACGTGTACACTCAGTAAGACAATCTTGTGATCATTCTTTCAAGTGTATTGATAGTAGAATTTACTGCGTGATAATGTAGAATGAGCGGTTGCCATTACGTATTTTTGGAATTTTGTCTAGAGTTGGACAAAACGGGAGATGGAAAATTGGATTTAAAGTAGTGTGAATAAACGTTAAAAGCAAAAATAAAAAGTATTCACCATTGATAATTTTGGATACGAATTCATTCATGAGTGTAAGAAACTGATCCATCAAATTCTTTTCGTCACTAGGCCCGATAAACTGCGATTTCAACCTCGCTTCGCTCGGTTAGATCGCGGTTTATCAGGGCTAATGACATCAAAGTATTATCTGACGAATGTGACTTTATAATCCGAGCCGAAAGCGAGGATTATAATCACATTCGTCAGATAATACTTTTATCGCCTAATGACATAATGTATTATTCTCTCCATGGCATGCCCAGCCTTCAACTAACGCACTGTTGCCACTTTCACGTAACATTTATTAACGAAATGTTATCACTGCCCATATTCTTCATATTAAGCATCAAAATTTGCATTCATTTTTTCGTATTTTTAAAGATTTTCTCTAGATTTCAATCTTTTTCATAACCTCGACACGTTTATTTTCTCATAAGACTGTTATTTTTGCAGTCGTCCATTAATTATTATCAACAATACTAGACTGTCGATTGAGCACAAACTCAACCAGAATGTTTCTATTCATATGAACTTGCATTTAGAATTTATTTCAGATTTTAATATTCAAAATTTGAGTTATGGTTATACTACTTTAAAATAACAATAAGGTATTTGTGTAGCAGAATTCGTCGTTGGTAATTTCTGGAAGAGAAAGGCGAGATACATAGACATGGAGGACCTTAATGATGATAATAACAATGCGGGAGCTCTAGTGATTAAGGAAGACAACAGTGGTAGTTACAACACTATAAATCATGCGTGAGTTTGTTGAAGTTGTTATCACTCCATTAATTCATGATCATACTGGACATGTTATACATGGAATTTTAATTTTTAGTCTATATTCATGAAATTTTATAGATCGCATTTAAGGAAGTTTCAAAATGAAAATTGGAAAGAAATATACGTACTCTCACAGATATGTATTCAAAAACATTTCAGGATGACTCAAGAGTTCATGAAACATGGACAAATTATCGAAATTCAACATTTCATTTTCGGAGTCATTACAATAACCTTCTCCCTTTGGGTCGGGAAGTTAAAAATCGCATATTCGGACTTTTTAGACCATATTTAATTAGCCTAACACAAACAATTGGGAACTTAAATTTGAACGATTACAAAGGTTCCATTCGGAAGTAATTGGCTTTTTCGTTTACCGAAGATGAAGAACTTAACTGATGACACTGGTCCTAGGGTTTCATTTATTAGTACAGTACAACCTCAGTAGTAATGGGGAAAGGAGTACCTCGAAAAAGCAAAAACTCGAATGACACGTACGTATGAAAAAATCGTATAGAAATTTTCTATACGGATTTCGTATACAAATTCTATAGGACTTCCGTATATGATATTCGGATATTTCTGTATGAATATTTTCTCTACGAATTATTTCTATACATAGATTTTGACATAAATGTTTGTTTTCATCACGCTGTGACGAAAAGTGAACTTTTCGGCACGCTCCGCGTGCCTAAAAGTCCAATTTCCGCCACATCGTGATGAAAAATATTGTTCGTAACTCGTGAAAAAACGCTTTTTTGCACTCGTTACGAAATATACTATTTCATACGAAAGATGCACTGAGAGAAAATAGTATATTTCGTAACGAGTGCAAAAAAGTGTTTTTTGGCGAGTGGGAGGTTTATATCAAGAGCCGAAGGCGAATGATATAATCCCACGAGATAAACAACATTTTTTCACGAGTTACGAACAATATTTTTCATCACAATGTGGCGGAAATTGGACTTTTAGGCACGCGGAGCGTGTACCAAAATATTGTTCGTAACTCGTGAAAAACGCATTTTTGCACTCGTTACGAAATATACTATTTCATACGAAAGATGCACTGAGAGAAAATAGTATATTTCGTAACGAGTGCAAAAAAGTGTTTTTTGGCGAGTGGGAGGTTTATATCAAGAGCCGAAGGCGAATGATATAATCCCACGAGATAAACAACATTTTTTCACGAGTTACGAACAATATTTTTCATCACAATGTGGCGGAAATTGGACTTTTAGGCACGCGGAGCGTGCCGAAAAGTTCACTTTTCGTCACAGCGTGATGAAAATATAATTCTTCTGACTATATTCCATCACCATCGAATTATAGTCAAAAAGTCCTCAACAATTTTTCATGGGTTACGGTAACTATGGCCGGAGAAGCAATTACTACAATGGAATGTAGTCATTGCCACTATTTTATAGTTTTACTCACAATAGATTTGTCGTGGTTACTTTTGAACTTTGGTTAGTTTAACTGCATTTTGATTTGCAAACATTACGCTTGTAAAGTTGCTATAATGTTATGTGCCGCATACAAAAAAAATCGTATCGTTCACCAAAATGCCTCAACTATTTTCTTATTGTAAATCGAACTTCAAATCTTTCTCTCAGTGTCTGCACGCTCCAGAGAAAAATACAGAGAAATGTCGCAAATCCATACGAAATGTTTCTATACATGTGGCAGTGGGTCGCATAGGATCAAACCTATAGAAATCATATAGAAATAATTTGTATAAAAAATATCCGTCTAGAAATATCCGAATATCATATATGAAAATCCTACAGAAATTCGATACGCAATCCATATAGAAAATTTCTATACGATTTTTTCATACGTGCGGAAGAGCCAAAAAAAATTCGAAAATTTTACTCATTTTTTATGTATTTGAAATGGTAGAATGAGATTTAATGACGACTACGATTTTTTTCCTTTTTTTGCAACATGGCAATGTTCGTTCATTGATTGTTAAAGGCCAACTGTTAATTCTTAGCTCGCCATTGAAAAGCACACAAAACGTAACAAGTTCATGCGACTCCATCTGTTTTAGCCCGGTTGATCGAAGGCCGTATAAACGAGGTTGTACTGTATAAGGATCATATGGGGTGGTATAAGGTCCATTCATCTCAACTTTTTTCTATCAACTAAATCGTTTGTTAACTATTAACAAATATTTATTTGATCATACGCAACTCTACTAGACGTTTATAAATACTAAAATCGATAAATTAATTGTTCTATCACTGTTTAGGCAATTCGAGCTAAATTGAAATATATCAAGCCAAGTTGCGGATTAAATTTCATACTCCAATTAGATTCGTTCATTATTGATATACTATTGTCCATTTATTCTTCAGATCAAGTGTTAATGCTTTTATTTTCCATTCAGCATCGAAAAAATCAAAGAAGAGGCTGCGAAGTTGTTCAAGGAGAAAAAATACTATCTAGCCGTATCGAACTACTCGCGACTCATTGGTAATTTCATTTTAATTATTTCTTAATACTGTTTTTCATCGCATCTTGAAAAATGGTTCATTTGAATCAAATAAAAAATTTTCTTTAACATTTTTTACTCATTTCAAGAATGTCACTGTTAGAAATGAATAAACTTGTTTACTTAAAAAGAAAGGATTTAATTATATCAAATAAACAATTTATTCATTTCAAATAAAGTCTTTTCATTTTAAGAAAATGACAGTTTTATGAGTTTTGTGAAGGAAATTTGAAAGTGTGTTCCAACCAGATTCACGTGCCACGTGGAAAAAGGCCGTTTTACTTCGTCTCATTCTCCCCTAATAATTATTGCATTTTTTTTCTTTCAATTTTTTTGAGTCAATTTCAATCCCGATGCGAGAGTAAATTATGAATCTGTTGCACGAAACCCTGTTAGCCAAATAAATCGTCAGAATAAATTTATGTCTGGAGTAAATTTATTCCACAATTAGACAATTTAGAGGAATTCGTCGTAGAGTGCTTTCGTTTAGCCCTTCGGTCGTGAATATTGACTACAATATAGTCACTATAACACGGACGAAAAAATTTAATAGAAAAACCTATCGAATTCGTTACAAAATTCTATTGAATTTCTATTGAACTGTTCTATTAGTTTTTGGCCGATTCTATTGAAATGTTCAAAAGAAAATATTCAGTAGAAAAAGTCAATAGAATTCTATTTTTCTATATAACTTATTCTATTGAGATATTTTCTATAGAATTTCCTCAGCTCAAATTTTCTGTTTTTTCGTTTGATTTTCTTGATGAGAAGAAAAGAAAAATAGAATGAAAAAAGATTAGAAAATTCGAGTCGAGCAAATTCTATAGAAAATATATGAAAAGAATAAGTTATGTAGAAAAATCGTATTCTGTTGACTTTTGCTATTGAATGTTTTCTACTGAACATGTCAATAGAATCAGCCAAAAACTAATAGAAAGTTTAATAGAAATTCAATAGAATTTTCTAACGATTTCAATAGGTTTTCTATTAAATTTTGTCGTGCGTGATCCTTCATAATTAGTAGTATTATTGGTAAAGAATGATGATAGATTGATACACCACGTTTTTTGGTGAAATATATTCGATGAACTTTCGAACAAATTGATCTGCAGATTTTTGTTTAGTCCGATATTTAGCCCGTCAGCATTCTCGCGTTATATTATTTTCTCTCGCAAAAATATTCAGGGTATAGGGAATATAGTTAAAAAATTGAGATTTTGGACTGAAACTTTTCAATTGCCTCAATTCTAAACTAAGCTTGGTGTAACCGGGCCTTATTTAATATAACAGAATCTCAAGTAATGAGGAATTTTTAATATAAAACTAATAACATTCAATAAAAACATTATTTCGTGCCATTCAAATAAACTTATTTATTTGATTCAAATAAATCATTTCTCTGAGTGCGTCATAATGCATTCCATAATTTTTTTTTTAACATCACCCGCAGAAATGTGTCCCAATGAACCAGTATACTACGCCAATCGTGCTGCTAGCTACATGATGATGGAGAACTACGTAAATGGTCTGGCAGACGCAAAGCAATCAGTTGAATTAAATCCAGCGTTTATCAAAGTATTGGTGTTATCAATTGATTGATTGATTAAACAAAACGTTTGCCAATTTTTTATTACTCATTGGGGCTTAATTTTCTGCTGTCAACCTAGGGACACTGTCGAGTGATACTATGTGCCATGAGACTTCACAGATTCTCAGAGATGGACAGTAGCATTGGCAAATTGAAGATGATTGATCCTACCAACGACATGCTCCAATATCAGGTTGAACAAATGCGAGAGTTGGTTATGAATCTTGAAAATGAACTTCTTGCTAGTAACGCCGGGAATTACGTCAAGGTATTCTGCTGTAATGGAAACATTCACTGCAAATTTCCAGTAATATTCTTCAAGTATTTCATCACATCTAACTTATATGAGATGTTAATTTATTTTGTTATCTACGAACCAGACAACTGAGATTTTTATTTAATATGTGGATGAAAATATCTTTAAATTGTGGAAATTTAGGCGAGTTCACACACGAAAGAATTTAATAGAAAAACCTATCGAATTCGTTAGAAAATTCTATTGAATTTCTATTAAACTTTCTATTAGTTTTTGCCTGATTTTATTGACATGTTCAATAGAAAACATTCAATAGAAAAAGCAACAGAATTCGATTTTTCTCTATAACTTATTCTTTTCATATATTTTCTATAGAATTTGCTCGGCTCAAATTTTCCAAGTTTTTTTCATTCTATTTTTCTTTTCTTCTCATCAAGAAAATCAAACGAAAAAATTTAGAAAATTTGAGCCGAGGAAATTCTATAGAAAATATCTCAATCGAATGAGTTATAAGAAAAATTGAATTCTATTGACTTCTTTTACTGAACATTTTCTATTGAACATTTCAATAAAATCGGCCAAAAACTAATAGAACAGTTCAATAGAAATTCAATAGAATTCTCTAACGAATTCGATAGGTTTTCCTATTAAATTTTTTCGTCCGTGTTGTACATTATTGCTTTGGATTTCCAACTTATTCATGATGTTTCGCTTAAGGATATCCAAGTAGATCGGGCGATTTTTTCTAGGGACAATCCTCTTCTGAGTTGATAAAATCGACCAAGAGTATTTTTTAGTCACAATATGAACCGGTTCCGTGACAGTTCATCCTATCCACTTCATCCTGGACCATTTCATCCCGGCCGATTCATTCCGGGAAATTTCATCTCACACATGTACAGACGACAGAGCTACCAGAATCAAATACGGCTGAATAAAAATAAAGGACAATCAACGGATTATTCCCATCACTCATCGCGTAACACAAATACAATACATCAATGCACATATACATATCACTTACTGATAGGGAAGGGCATGCCTGTACCGCTCAGCGGGTAATACCGCTCACCCGATTTTCTCCACAACCATCAACTTGAAAATTTCTTTCTGTTCCCGATCATGAAGAATTTGATGATAGGATGTGATTGTCGGAAAAATTTCACTTTATTTACCTCTTTAAATATGAAAAACCACGTAACGAAGTTTTGAGGTCTTTACAGTGCAAAATTTGTGGACTTATAATTAAGGTTTTTGATAGTTTCAAACACTGAATTCTCATATTTAACTGTAGTTATTCAATTCGTGGTACTTTCACGCGTAATTTGAGACCAATTCGAACTTAAAACTCCACTCATGTCAATAATTATCAACAATTTTGTTGACGCCCAGCGGAGCGGGTAATACCGCTCACAGAATCGGCCACGTAGTTGCTCGAAAACCCTATGAGCGGCATTGGAATCGTGCCGAGTGGTATTGCCTCTTTTATTTTCAATCAATTTTGTGGATTCTAAGGAGAATTAGGTGTCTACCCTTCGAGAATAACGAATTCAATAGTTAAAGAAGTCTCACAAATACGTTTTTTACACTCAAGTTGAAATATAAAATATAAAACTGGCATTTCCCCTTAGGTGGGCGGTACAGGCACACCCTCCCCTACACAGACCTCATCGTACAATCTACTCCGATGACTCAGTACACATTCCCACTACGAGGACGAACAACACGATTTAAGAGTGAAGTTTAACGAAATAAACTGAACATGGTGTTGAAATTTGGCGAAACCCAAAGAGGGCAAAAATCATTGATCGTTGATGCACATACATTTGGTAGGCAGTGCCTATCAGAAAGGATGCAGAGCACGCTGCCATTACCAATTTTTAGTAATTTTTATCTCAATTGTTTCGTAATAAAATAGAATGCGAATCAAATAATCGAATAGAATATCAATTTTCATCAAAAGTTTTTTTTTCAATGGCCTTTTATCCGGATGTTTTCCCGTAAATTTTTTTTTTCCAAAATCTTTTTTTTCCTTACTCCTCAACTTCTGCCAGCCATAACCGTCGCCACATCAGTTTACATGAATTAATCCGAAAATAAAATGAAAGAACCACAAAAAAAAATTCTTTTCGCCACGGCGGGCGGAAAGGACACTTTGCCTCCCGCTTCGCGGGAGGAAAATCTTCCTTTCCGCCTACGCCGTAACGAAAAATAACTTTCTCACCACGGGAGGTAAAATAAAGGACCCTTACCCACGTTCTTACCACCCTCGCCTTCGGCTCGGGTGGTAATTCTGCACATGGGCACGACTCCTTTATTTTCCCTCCATGGGTGGGAAATATACTATTTTGTACCGACGTTTTGAATTCACTAAGAATTTTTCATCAGAACAATGCATTTAATCTAAAATCAAATTACAAAAAAAAATTTAATCTGTCATTTTAAGTACAGTCAGTAAATTAAGTTGTCAGAAAGAGTTTTTTTTTCTAGATTTTTTTTCCAATATAAGGATGAAACAAGCGTAGGATGACATGCCCTACAATGAAAAGGGCAAGGGAAGAAATAGCCTAGAACGAAACGGGTCTAACATGAAATGGCCTAGGATAAAATGGGAGGGTGAAAAGTACCGGAATAAAATACCCCGGCATGAAAAAGTTCGGGGACGAACTGTCCTGCTACCACGTTGTCAGTTTAGCTCTGAAAATTTGCAACAGTTTCGCATTGAAATGTAGAAATCATTTCGTATGAGCCAGAATGATAATTCTGAACTATTAATCTCCCCGTTTGTATCAGGTTTTGGAATATATCGATAAGTGTCTGGCGATTTGTCCACAATTCATGGCGTACAAAGTCAAGAAGGCAGATTGTCTACTTGTTCTTGGAAGATTGATCGAAGCGGCAGCAGTGGCAAGGTAATTCGTAAAACGTGGTGAAAAATGAAGAAATGAGTTGATCAAGTGATTAATATAATTTGAACGGTTAATCAATTTAAAAGTTTTTTTTATCTGAATATTTTAGAGAGATTGTGGAACGAGATCCAAGCAACAGTGATGGTCATTATGTCCTAGGGAAATGTTTGCGTGAGACAAATATTAAACTATCAGTATTTCACTTCGGAGAGGCTTTCCGGTTGAATCCCTATTGTAGTAGGGACCGCACGCTTCATGAGGTAACTTTATGTGACTTTTTGTCATTCCGGCCGTGAGGCAGCGCTTCACGGACGCTCCGTGTTCGTGAATCTCTGCCTACGGCCGTCATGACAAAAAATACTGTTCGTCATACGGCCAAAAAAAAAACTTTTCTAGCTCTTATAATTGCAGTCCTCGCCTTCGGCTCGGGCTGCAAACTCATATTCGCCAGAAAAGTTTTTTTCGGCCTAGTGACGAAATATACTATTTTGTCATTCCCGCCGTAAGGCAGCGTTTCACGGACGTGAATCTCTGCCTACGGCCGTCATGACAAAAAAGTTTATTTTTGGCCGTATGACGAACAATCTCTGCTTCGCTTCGCGTCCGTGAAACGCTGCCTTACGGCCGGAATGACGAAATATACTAATGACCTAATGAGGGGTACAATAACCCCAACGAGGGCTACAATCTCTCCAGTACGACTTTATGTGGCATGGACGCCGACCTTGAGGGATTAAATCGCATACTGAATTCATTCATCTACATAATTTAATTTTTCCAGAGTGGTAAAAAAATTATAGAGAAGAGAACTGATGCAAACAACGCATACAGACTCCAGAACTACGCCCAAGCCCACTACCAATACTCCACACTGTTATTGGAATGTGCAAAGGATGCAGGATTTCGAACAGCTCTATACTTCAACATGGCCCAAGCGTCCTACAAAATGGGTAACCTCGAGCGATGCCTGCAGGAGTGTGGAACTGTCCTAAACCTCCAGCCAAATCACCTGAATGCCTTGATGCGTCGTGCACAGTGTCACATGGACCGAAAGAACTACACCGAAGCCATCAAAGATTTGGAGAAAGCTTGGGGCATCGAGTCGTCAGCTGAGGTCCTCCAAATGCTGCAAGAAACCCACAAACGCTTGGGAGACTCTCATAACGGTCCCTACGTGATCCTGGGGCTATTGCTGGGTGCACCCAGGGAATCGATTATCAAGGCCTACAGAGAATTGACGAAAGTGCATCATCCTGATCGCCATGCAAATGCAACAGACGAGCAGAAGACATATCATGAAATGAAATGCAAGGAGATTACGAGGGCTTATAGATTGTTGATGGAGATGAAACCAACTGGTGGAACCAACAGTAACAATTCCAATGGGAAACAACGGGAGACGAATTCAGCACCGAAGCCATCACCAAGAGGTTCCACCACTAATTTTAATAACAGTAATGGGCATCAGTCATCATCTGGAGGTGCCAATCATAACTCGGCTGGAAGTGAATCAGGAGGAAGAGGTGGGGCTAGAGGTTCTAATAATTTCTATGGGCAGCAATATTCACCTGGAGGCATGGATAATAATTCTGCTGGATCTCAGCCGAGAGGCAGGGGTGCAGCAAGACACTCTCATGATTATTACTGGGAACAATCTTCAGCCGGAGGAAGCAATCGTAATTCTACTGGGTCTCAGGCAAGAGGCAGGGGCGCAGCGAGAGGTCCTTACGATTATTATGAGCACCAGTCGTCCCCTGGAGGCACGGGTGGTGATTATGATAGGTTTCACGCAAGAGGTAGAGGAGCAGCAAGAGGTCCTCATGACTATTACGGGCAACAGCCTCCAGCAGGAGGCAGCAATCAATATCCCACTGGGTTCAAATCGTCAGCAGGAGGTTCTAATAATCATTATGGGCGACAATATACATCTGGAGGAACCCATTATAATTCCAATGGAGGTCAGCCCACAGCGGGAGGTTCTCGGAATTACAGTGGAAAAGACTATAACCCGAGGAGTGAGAATCATCGTTCCGCAGGGCCACGATCATCTGCAGGGACTTCTAATACTCATAATCGACAGCAATTCTCAGGAAATTCTGAGAGCAAGCCAGCAGGGGCTTATCGTGATGACGGTAAGGCGAAGCAGACCTCATCGAGGAACTATTACTATGATGATTATTACGATGATGACAGTTACAGTTCCAGTGACAGTGAATCTGATTCTGGAAATTATGGTAATGATTATGAGAGGAATGGAGGAGATTATCCTGATGGGAATGAAGACGATTGTAATCGACATGAAGGAGACTATGATGATCGGGATGAACAAAATGAGGGTGGTCAGGGTGGAGTAATTGATGACAATTACTATGCAGAATCTTATCACCAGAGTGAAGATGATTATGATGATTATGATTGACTTGAGGAAGAGCATGATGATCGAGGTGAACAAAGTGGTGGCGATCAGGATGAAGCAGTCGATGAAGATCGGGATGAACAAACTGATGAGGGACATGAAGAAGATGATAATTCGCATGGAGATGATGATGATGATGATGATGATTATTGCGATGATGATTATTATGATGATGATGATTAGGAGAAAATTGGGCATTTACAATGTAAAATAGATATTGAATGTAAAGATATCACTGATACTGCCGCTATTGTGACTGGATCATACGCGGAAAGTACAACTGCTATCTGCATTTTTAACTCAGTTTCGTGCACTCAAATATATTTTACTACATGGTGTCGCCTGAGTTATTTTCTAATTACAAATAATCATGTTATTAAATTTTAAAGGCATGAAAAAAAAGTTATTAAATGATGTAATCTAATAAATGATCTTTTCATGAGTATTGAAAATTTCGGAGTGAATTATTCATGTATCTCATCTGTTATTCTCTATTTTGAGTTCATAAAGATTGTGAATATCGCTCTACAAAAATCTTTCAAAGAAAGAGATTTTTGGAGAAAATTGCAAAATTTGAAAAAGATTATCAGAATTTTTTTTTATAGTCTTTTATGTGCTGTAGGCAATGTTTTCGTAGCACATGCAGCAGTCGTAGTAACAACTAGACGTCAAGTGATTCGTAAGTTCATTGATATAATTATCACATCGTACGTAACTTATTTCAATCGTTTCTATTTCTCTTCAAAAAGCATTCAAAGCCTATAAAAAAGATAATAACGAATTAGTTCTATGCCAATTCATTTGGAATTGTGAAGATGAGCGTAAAGTAAAGAAATATTTTGTTGACGATAGTTAAATTGTCACGGCCTACTGTGACAAAACAAAACACGGCAGATCTAATGAACGGAGCAACTGTCTGATGATCTCCTAACCCAGAAACGTTGCAAAAGAACCCAAAAATTTGCAAGACAATTTTGAGCATAATGAATCAAATAAAAAAAGTCAAAACAACGAAGAGCCCAAAATATTCTTCTCTGTTCAGGAGCTTTAAGGAAAGTGAACAACAGGCTGCAATGTTGTTCGACGAGAAGAAATACTGTGCGGCTATAGCAAAGTATACAGAACTCATAGGTAGCTTCGTTTGAATCATTATTACATCTCTCCAAAATCGTAAATAGTATATTTCGCTACGAGTGCGTAAGTGCTTTTGTGATACCTGCCTGAAAAGTGCGGTTTTCGAAACGGTGTAGTGTGCATAAAGCGGCTGTTTTCCAGTGATGAAATAGTATATTTCGTTACGAGTGCGGAAAAGAGTTTTTTGGCTCGTGGGAAGTTTATAGCACGAGCTGAAGGCGAGTGATATATTGCCACGAACCAAAAAACACTTTTCCCACGAGTATCGAACGATATTTTTTATCACAATACGCGAAGCGTGCCTAAAAAGTTATTTTTTCGCACGGCGTGATGAAAAGTTTATTTTATAGTTTTTCTTTGAATCCTGTGCGTAGAAATGTGTCCTGATTACGCAAAATACTATGGCGATCGTGCTGAAAGCTACATGATGCAGAAGGATTATAGGAGAAGTCTCGAAGATGCAAAAAAGTCAGTGGAATTGGATCCAATGTTCATTAAAGTATTTATATCATTAATCAAAATGCGAAAAGAAATCGTTCATCTATAATTTTTATCATACTCGATGTTTGATTTTTTTTTCATCATCCAGGGACATTGTGCAGTGATCGATAGTGCCATTACACTTCACGAATTCTCAGAAATGGACAGTAGCATAGCTCGATTGAAAACACTTGATCTTGCATACGAGGTACTCCTGCAGCAAGTGGATAAAATGCGAAGATTAGTTATAATTCTTGAGGAGGAAATCTGTGCCAATGCTGACAACGATTACAGGAAGGTATTGAGCTTTTCGAAATTTACTTTCATGCCAATCTAACACGGACGAAAATTTTTTATAGAATAACCTATCGAATTCGTTGCAAAATTCTAGTGAATTTCGATTGAACTCTTCTATTAGTTTTTGGCCGATTCTATTGAAATGCTTAATAGAAAATATTCAGTAGAAAAAGTCAATAGAATTCGATTTTTCTATATAACTTATTCTATTGAGATATTTTCTATAGAATTTCCTCGACTCAAATTTTCTAAGTTTTTTCGTTTGATTTTCTTGATGAGAAGAAAAGAAAAATAGAATGAAAAAAACTTGGAAGATTTGAGTCGAAGAAATTCTATAGAACATATATAAAAAGAATAAGTTATATAAAAAATCGAATTCTGTTGACTTTTTCTATTGAATTTTTTCTACTGAATATGTCAATAGAATCAGCAAAAACTAATAGAAAGTTTAATATAAATTCAATAGAATTTTCTAACGAATTGGATAGGTTTTTCTATTAAATTTTTTCGTGTGTGAATGGCAATGAACATTCCAATCTTTTATTTTCACTTCAAGGTTTTAGAACAAATCGATGAGTCCCTGGAAATTTGTCCAGAGTTTTTGGATTACAAAGTCAAGAAAGCTGAGTGTCTGGTCAATCTTGGACGGTTCTCGGAAGCTGAAAAATTTGCGAGGTAACTTCTACGTCAGTCATGACGTTGGCAAAATTAAATATTGATCGTAGAGGCGATGAGTTCATACTTCTATTCAAAATTCAATTGTTGGTCGCTGATTTTATTGATTGATTTTATTTTATTTCATTCCACAGCTACCGCATCTTTTTAAGTAGAAAATGTCCGATAGAAACTATTATGCAGAAAAAATCAGCAGAAGTTGGGCTTTCTATATAACAATATAACTTTTTTATTGAGATATTTACCATAAACATTCATTGACATGTATTTCTCTATTTTTTCACTCTTTTTTTCTTCCTCTTATTGAAAAAATAAGACAAACTTCGAAAACCTGGGCCCAGGAATTTCTGTAGAGGATATCTCCATAAAATAAGGTGTCAATAAAAAGGGAAAAATACAATCCTGTTCATTTCCTTTAAACAAAATTTTCTCTGTTTTATATTTCTATTGAAAAATCAGGAATTCTCCACAATCGGAAGAAACTGATAGTTTCAACGTAAGTTCAATTAGAATTCTATAGAATTTTCAAGTGAATTCGCTAGGTTTTTTCAAATAAATTTCTCGTTCGTGTTAGGTCGATCAGAATTGATCTGCCATTCTTCTAATCAATCCTATAACCCGCCATTCTCTGAAAATTCCAGTAAAATTTTGAAGCAGGACCCAAAAAACAGCGAGGCTCATTACGTGATGGGGAGATGTTTGCGCAAAACGAGCATTGTAGAATCAGTGCATCACTTCGAAGAAGCCCTCAGTCTGAATCCACACTGTGTCAAAGACCGAATGCTCTATGAGGTGATTCCTAATGATCAATAATATATCATAACTTCGATATTAAACTAATCATTCAACCAGTAATGAAATGACGAAAAAACTAGAGTCAAATGGAATCTTGCTTTTGCCTCTTGCGTAGGAGCACCAATTCACCTAAAATATCCCGGTCAAAAACTAGCACAAAGTTAAATAGAAATCCAATAGAATTTTCTAGCAAATCGCAAGATTTTTCTATTTATTTTTTTTATACGTAGAAGTTATTGACGTGTCGTGAAGCGCAATCATTCATGAAGCTGAAACTAGCAGGATAGTCGTCAGCGGACAATTCAATTTAGGGGATATTTAGGTGTATATAGGAGAATCAAATAATCATATGTACAAATGTTTTTTAAGTGCGAAAGAGTTTGCACATTACTTAAAAACATTTGTACACCCCTAGATTCGCCTAAGACAAATCTTCTGCTGTCGAATCTTTCGCTAGTTTCACCTTCATCAATCATTCTGAGCTGTAAGCCATTGAATATAATTTCCGTTTCTCACGTCTTGGTCTACATATTGGGAAATTTTTCTCTCAATATACAAATACTCACTAAAACAATCATGATGTAACTGATTCTTCTGGTCCAATGAGTTGTAAAACTTATTCTTATTCTTGCTCTGTACATCTCCTCTTCCAGATTCCTGAATCTAACATTATCTGCTTGTTTCACAGACAGCTAAAAGATTCCTAGAGCGGAAAACCGAGGCGAACAATGCTTACAAATCTCAGAACTTTGCGCAAGCCCACAGCGAATACTCCACATTATTCTTAGAATGTCGAGAAGACACAGGAATGCTGACGACTCTGTTCTCCAACATGGCCCAAGCGTCTTACAAACTGGGAGATTTGGATCGATGTCTGCGAGAGTGTGACTGAGTGTTCGCCTTGAAGCCGAATCATCTGAAAGCCCTGATGCGTCGTGCACAGTGCTACATGGATCGACATGAATACGAAAAAGCTATCGAAGATTTGGAGAAAGCCTGGAGCGTCGAGTCATTAGCCGAGGTCCTCAGAATGCTTCAGCAAGCTCACAAACTTCTCGCAGACTCTGAGAACGGTCCCTACGTGATCCTGGGGCTAGAGCGTGATGCATCTGAGGAGGCGGTCACCAAGGCCTACAGAGAGTTGACGAAGTTACATCATCCCGATCGACATGCGAATGCAATAGACGAGGAGAGCAGATATCATGAAATGAAGTGCAAGGAGATTACGAGGGCTTACAGATTGTTGATGGAGCAGGAACCAGACAGTGACAATGCCAATGAGAAACCGGAGACGAATTCAGCATCAAAAAGTTTCAACACAAATTTCCATAACAGTAACAGTCAGGGATCTAATTCCAAAAGCACAAATGATGATTTCAGCGGATTTCGATCGCCAGCAGGAGCCTCGGGTGATGATATGAAGCAAGAATCTCCATCTGGAGGAGGGAACAAAAATTCTACGGAATCCGAGCCGCGAACAGGAGATTCGAATAATCATGATGGGGAAAAATCTCCACCTGGAGGTAAGAAAAAGATTACATGTTAAAATGATACACGTCAATGTTAACACAAATTGAACACACACGTTCAACAGTCTTCGAAATCAATAAATATTTACTATGGCATGAGGATTCATTTCATGAAAAATCAAAAAAATATGAACAACAATACAATGAATTGCATCAATAATGAGGAAGTATAAAATCGCAAAAAACGTACGATAATTTACTAAGTTGCATCAATAAATGAGAACATATCAATCGGCAAAATGGCTAATTCAATAAATTGATATAAAATTAGGGGAGAATGGGACGAAATGAAACATGAGGCAAAATGAAACAGCCGAAAAACGACTATTTCACACAATTCAACCAAGATGTTTTTATTAACTTTTATTTATTAACTTTTTCTATTATTGGGAGTACTGATGAGAATAATAATTTTCTATTCGTCTTATAATTCAATTGATTAGATTATGCCGATTACACTTTTCTTGTTTCATTCGATTGAATTCGGCATCACATTTTTCTTTTTCTCCCCCTGGGCCTTCCTCTGAACTTTGGATTTTGCTGTTTCATTTCCTTTTCAATTAATCCATTAACAAAATTTTCTCCCGTTCAAACACCTTAATACTTTTCTATTTTACTGAATGGAAAGTTATTATTCTCATCAATACGACCAATAATAAAAAATCAGTTAATAAACAAAAGTTGATAAAAAAATGGTCGATAAAAAAATTTTTTTTTGCTTTAATTGCGTCAAACAGACGTTTTTCGACTGGTTCATTTTGCCCCACTCTCCCCTACTATTGAACTATTCACAACAAAATAATATCACACTACAACACTTCACAGTTTCGTTGAAATCTACTCCTAATACTCATCATCACAAAAAATATTATCGTTATTAAATAGTATTAAATCTGTATTAAATTACAATTACCTCGACGATCCAGGTAGTTAAATACTCCAAATCATCCTGTTATTAATCCCTCAATTATTATCACAAGTAGGGATTATTGAGGTAACACATACACCCACACGTATGAAAAAATCGTCTAGAAAGTTTCTATACGTATTGCGTATAGAAATTCTATAGGATTTCCATATATGATATTCGGATATTTCTAAATTAATAAATTTTTACATAAATTTTTGTTTTTATACGAAAGATGTCTAAACGCTCCAGAGAAAAACGTAGAGAAATGTCGCAACTCCATACGAAATGTTTCTATACATGTGGCAGTTGATCGTATAGAATAAACCTACAGAAATCGTGTAGAAATAATTTGTATAAAAAATATCCGTATAGAAATATCCGAATATCATATACACGTGTTAAATTTGTATATGTTAAATTATCAAGTGTTCAAAATGCACGTGTTAAATCTGTGTTGGAAGTAACGTGTTATTTTGACCTGTAATAAGAAAAAATTATTCCCCAGGATCTCAATCGCCATCGAGAGGATCGGATAACGATACTGAGCAACGATCTTCACCTGGAGGAGCGAATAAAAATTCTACTGAATCTCAGTCGTCAAAATGCGATCCGAATAATCCTGAAAAGGAACAATCTCCACAAATTGGTACAAAAAATGATTTCATTGGACCTCAATCGGCAGCAAGCGAGGCGGATAATCATGAAGGGAAGAAATCTCCGTCTAGTAGAACAAATAAGACTCGCACCCGATCTCAATCGCCATCAAGGGTTCCGAATAACAGCGGCAAACGATCGTCATCAATGTGTTCTGATCGATCTGATCACCGAAGGTCGTCGTCAAGAACTTCCAATAAGAAATCATCAAACACTGATCGCGATGATCGTAAGAGGAGGCGATCGTCAGTCAGCGATCATTCTCATGATCGCTCTTATCATCGCAGGTCTCATTCACGACCTTCCAACAGAGGATCATCAGATTCTTATCGCGATGATCGTGGAAAGAGGCGATCGCCATCCAGTGATTACTCTGATCGCTCTCATCACCGAAGGTCTTACTCAAGAACTTCAGACAGGAGATCGTCAAAAACTCGTCGCGATGATCGTAAAAGGAGGCGATCGTCATCCAACGATTATTATTATGATCGCTCTCATCATCGCAGGTCTTATTCACGGTCTTCCAACAGAAGATCATCAAATTCTTACCGTGATGATGGTGGATGGAGGCGATCGCCGTCCAGTGATTACTGTGATCGCTCGTATCGCCGAAGTTCTTACTCAAGAACTTCGAATAGGAGGCAAGACTCTTATCGAGATGATCGTCGAAGAAGGTGACCGCCATCCTGCAATTGCTATGGATGATTGGAATGACGAAGAAAATGCATGCGCCAAAAAGCTAATGCTTGAGAAATACTTAAGAGCAGACTACTATGAGTTTTAAAAGTCACGGCTATTGGAGCGAGATTTCTCATGCATTGAAGATCGATTATATATATCTAAGAATGAGTAATTAGTGAAAATAGTATATTTCATTACGAGTGCGGAAAAGTGTTTTTCGGCTCGTGGGAAGTTTATAGCACGAGCCGAAGGCGAGTGATATAATCCCACGAGCCGAAAAACACTTTTCCCACGAGTATCGAATAATATTTTTCATCACAATGTGTGAAAAGGGACGTTTTAGGCACGCGAAGCTTGCCTAAAAAGTTACTTTTTCGCACAGCGTGATGAAAAAAATGGTTTATTGTTCGTTTGCCCTGCAGACGTTTAAAATGTTAAAAACAGTCCAGGGCCTCCAATTTTTTATTTTTTTTATTTTTTTAATTTTGAAAAAATGTGTATACAATGATAATTACGAATTAGTTTTTTGAAAGTCGACTCCTACACAGCTAATTTCGTTTTGTTTAATTTAAAAATTTGCGCCATTCATGCAAAATAAGTAGCAAAATTATCCTTAAAATGTTTAAAATATCTTCTCGATTCTTTCAGAAATTTTTCCCGCTGTATTTTACATGAATGGTGCAATTTAAAAAAATAGCATATTTCGTCATTAGGCCGAAAAAAACTTTCCTGGCGAATATGAGTTTGCAGTCCGAGCCGAAGGCGACGGCTGCAATAAAATCATATGAGCTATACAAAAGTTTTTTTAGGCCGTCTGATGAATAATATTTTTTGTCATAACGGCTGTCTTACGGCCGGAATGACAAAAATAAAATTAGTTGTGTAGGAGGTGAATTTCAAAAAACTAATTCGTAATTGTTATTGCCCATATTTTTTCAAAAATGTTGAAAAAAACGTCTATAGCTTAAAAATTGGAGGCCCTGGACTATTTTTAACATTTTAAGCGTCAGCGAGGCAAACCACCAATTAATAAACAATTAAGTTTTTTCCACTAATTATTGGTTTTTAGACATATATAATCGATTTTTAATGTATAAGGAATCTCATTCTAATAGCCCCTGACTTTTGAAACTCATAGTAGTCTTTCCTTTACAAATACAAGCCAAGAAACTTGGAAAATTTGAGCCAAGAAATTTTTATCGAAACAATTTCAATAAAATAGATTACATGAAAAGATTAAATTCTATTGATTTTTATATATAATATTTTCTACTAAATATCACTCTTTAGAAAAACGTGTGGAAAAAGTGCGAAGATCAATCGAAACCTAACAGAATTTTAAAGCAATCATTCTATTTATTAGTTTTTAATTCACTAATATTTCCCTTTTGTTATTTTTTCTACTCGTTGAACTCCGACATTTTTTTTGTTGGTGGGTCTTTACTACGATTTGTATCGCACGCCCCTAACGTATCGCTTGTTGTCATATTTGAAATTATGTTGGAGAATTAATGTTAGTGAATATTTTATTGCTCCATTACGTTGTAAAATGAATCAGTACTCAATAAAAAATAGATCGAGAAAACTGACGGAAAATAATTATCATCCATCAATTATCGATTTACAGGCATATGGTAATAGGTGGGAGAATGAATGGTAATAAAAAATGAATTTCAAGTTAGTGTCCATTGGAGGTGTGATGAAATTGTTTTGTTTTCATGACCTATTAAAATGTTTTGTTTTCATGACCTATTACATTCCATCTATCATCATTCATAATAGTATCTATTAATTGACTGTTAGTTATTAGTCATTTAATTTCCCATTCTTTTATTTTCTTCACATACCAAGGCACGCCTCCCACCCACCTAAATTTCCGGGATAATAAAACGTACGACTATTTAGAAATCCATTTGCTTTGGTTTCCCGTGTCTCCACATTCACCATTAGTTCTCCACAGGTTGTTCGTTATTTCCTATGAAATTATACCCTAGATTAATTTCTTCCTCAAAACTAGTTGAATCGGTTGGGATGTTTTCTTTTTTCTTATTTTTCATCTCGATTATTATATCATTATCCAAAGCCGATAATCCGGAACTGGGTACAATCATCTTCGCCAACATCGTAAGTTTTCTTTATTTGAAAAAAGTTTCCTGAATTGCGATAAATATTCGTCCCATTCTGTTCCTTATTTTTATTTATGTCGCGCCGTGCAATAAGTCGAGTTTATCGCACGCTGCGCTTCGCGCAGCTTGCTCAAAACTCGACTTCTGCACGACTTGACATAAAATATTATAGAGCACTCGGTAATAAATTTCGTTTTCAACGAATGTGTGTACAGACCTCGCCTTCGGCTCGGCCTGTAAACTACACATTCGTTGAAAACGAAATTTGTGCCCTTGTACTCTAATGTACTATTTTGTTTAATTTGTGAAGTTGCTCAGTTTGTATTTTTTTTTACTGTGCAAATTTTGATATTTAATTGGTTTTGTTATGACGGATTCCGACAATCACATGTGTGACGCATCAATTATCGATTAATTTTGGGATGGGATTACGTGGAAATGGGAAGTTAGATTGTGGAGTTTGATTCATTCAAATATTCGTTTTATTTTCAGCTGTACAGACATGGAGTTAAAACTCCTGAGGTATCTTACCCGAATGACCCTTGGAAGAATGAGTCCCTCTGGCCTGTGCCATTCGGGGAGCTGACTAATGTAAGAAATTTGTTAGTAGAGATGTGCGGGTAGTAACTAGTCGTTACTTTTAATTCATAATTTTTCAAACTCGAAAGTAACGAATATCGAGATGGCAAAGTATTCGGTATTTTTTCTAAATTTCTATCTTAGCCGCCTGAAACTAAAGAATGTTCGAATGATGATGTTCCTCAATGCACGGAGAGAAATATTCAATAAACATTGGCAGTGTCTATTCACACGCTCCACGGTAACTTTGACCGTGGATATATGGGAGATCGTGGACCCTCAACTTTTACTTCTCAAATTAAATCTAGACAATAAACTAGACACATCGAATCAATTGATAAGTGATATGCAGATAGTAGACTAGTAAATAATTTTCACAAAATATTAATTCGCTGAATACGAATATCAGTCTAGATTAACGCAAATAAAAAATGAAATAAATAGTTGGCAAATAGTTGACTAAACGCAAATAAATGATGAAATAAATAGTTTTTTACATTTTATGTGAACGTTTTCTCAACAATATTCATATTTGTCTAATGGGGTCCGAGTGCAGGAATGGGTGCCGAAATATAGTCCAAATGATTTTAAGCGTGATTTCCCGACCGGGGGAGAGTCCTAGACCCCACCGGACAATGTTCTCACAACTCTGGTTTTGAACTCTGCTTTCAGAGTGAGCGAACTGTGAGTTCCGTAATTTTTACTGAACATTTCTTTCCGTGTGCAAACTCCCAGTTCATCCTCTAAATTTGAGAGTCTAAAAGCTCCACAGGATGTGACAAAAGATTCTCTAACTGATGTAAAATGTTTATTTGAAAATATTTTATTGACCCGTCAGCACTCGCGTCATTTCACCGAGAATCTTTACTCGCGCCAAGAGAGAATCTCTGGCGCATGGCGCGTACACTAGTTAAACAGAGAGGTCAGAGTTATCCATGGGACTGGTTTAGTTACCGAGTATCACCGAACGTCTCACGGAACCACTCGATGCGAGCCATCCACACGATAAAATATTTTTTTATAATTTATTAAAATCTGCTAGACATTTTTTATTGATCCCAGAGGAAAGAGGGATAGTTGCTTGAGACAATCAAAAATAAACAACTAAATAAATGGAATAAAAGAAATGAACAACTAATGAAAAATGATAATAACACATTATATATATAACAATTAAAATAGTTGCCTGAGGCAATCAAAAAGTTTCAGTCCAAAATCTCAATTTTTTGAATATGTTCCCTATACCCTGAAAATTTTTGCAAGGGAAAGTCATATAGCGCGAGTGCTGACGGGTTAAATAAAATATTCAATTATGATTTCATTTTCCCCGTTTAACGCCACCACTTTACCTCCTTTGATTCTTCTCGTTATTTAACTCTCATTTTTTATTTTAATCATCGATAAAAAAAAGTTACGAGTAACGAGTATTGACGAACGAATACTTTCTCATATGATAACAACTACTTTTGGAACAAAAGTAAGCAGATTGCACATCTCTATTTCTTAGGAATGGTTAGGAAAATTTTTCCCATAGGGGAGGGTGGGGTAAAATGGACACTTTAGACTTTTTTTTATTTACTCATAACTCAGAAACGAATTTATCAATGGAGCTCAGTTTAGGTCCATCACAAAGGGCAAGAATTGTTCCTGGCATTGAAAAAAAAATTATCAAATTTCATCATCATTTCAATCTGTCATTAACATTCTTTAAAAAGTCAAGTGTCCATTTTACCCCAAACTCCCCTAAAAAAGATTTCTCAACATTTATACCCAAACCCACTCATTCTCCAGATTCATGCAAAATCATTTGCTCCTTCATGCAATGCACCAATCTGCATAGAACAGTATCAAACTATCATTCCTATTGCTTCCTAATCTGAAAATTTTTGTTGACATCATTGGGTTCAGTTGGGGAAGCAGCAGCTCTTGGAACTCGGCAAATGGTTCAGGGCCAGATATAACCAGATGTTGCCCCGGAAGTATTCCCCGTACGATATATACGTGAGAAGTACAGATGTAGATCGCACGTTAATGTCAGCCCAAGTTAATCTTGCCGGTCTTTACCCACCAGTGGATGACCAGGTCTTCGATGATGAGCTTAAGTGGATGCCAATACCTGTACACACAACTCCGGAGAAAGAGGATAATGTCTTGGCTGGAGAAAAGTACTGTGCTAGGTATTCACTTGAGTTGAAACGATTGACCGCTTCACCGGTAATCCAAAACATTCTGCAAGATAATCGAGAGTTGCTTGATTATCTCACCAAAATGACGGGGAAGACGATCAATTTTTCTGATGTATTCGTTCACATTTACGACAGTTTATTTATTCAGGTAATTATTTGTTACTTCATTCTTTTTGCTTGCGAATGGAAGCATTGAAATCATTCCACACGGAGAGAAATGTTCAGTAAAAATTACGGAACTCTCACTTCACTCACCCATTACGGAATCGACTCAGAAAATTTAAGTGACGGTATCGTAATTTTTCACAAGATATTCAGATGAAAATTACGGAACGCTCCGGAAAAATTCCGTGACAGTTCCGTAAAGTTTCCCACAACCACATTTCGCTCCGGAATTACGGAAAAGATACGTAATTTTTATTGAATATTTCTCTCCGTGCATTTTTTAATTTTCTAATTTTGCTTGAAAATTATGTAAAATGGTCTGGAACGTAAAAATACAAAGTTTGAGGAGCATGTGTATACGTGTGCCTGTCCACCTGGTGGTCAACTTTAAAAAATGTAGGAATTAAAGGAATAAAATAATTCCAGAAAATCATGAAAACTCCGGAATCGTGAAAACCCCGTAACGGAAAAATTTATGAAAATTTGTATTTTTATTCTCAACCAAACCGAATGCATTGACAATTTTTTTAGTCCATACTCGCCCCATTCAATTATTAAAATCTTCGGAAAACTTTATTCGCAGAAAAACTCCGTGTTTAATCTCTAAATGGGAAAATTTTGTGCCTAATGAAATTGATATCCACATTTCTTTTTCCTTGAAGGTTCAAAATTACTCGTAAATTACAAATAAACAATTTTTCCAACTTTTTTTTTACAAAAATTGTAAAATACACAGGGCTGCGAATCGTTCACTGTGCGACCAACAATGTTCGGTGATGAGCTGCGACTCCTTAAGGGTTAATAAGAACTACAGGCGTACTGGCGAAATTCTAGTTTTCACTTCCCATATACCCTACTGGTGGGGGAATAGGAACCGAAGAGACTACAGTCTCCCCAGTACGACTAAAACTGCCTAAAACTGCGACTAAAACTCAATTTCAGCTCAATCAATCTAGCCATTTTGGAGAAATCACTATTTGGTTCTAAATAGTTTTTCGTTTCGAAAGTTTCGAAAGTACTCAACCGATTTTATTTTTTTTCAAAATATACGTCTCGATGTTTTCTACCTTAATCAATCAAAATATATACCGGGTGTTCCAAGACGAATCGGATATATTGTGAGGGTAGCTCGGGGGGGATTATTTGGAGACAAAAACACTAATGAAATTTTTGTGTCTGACGCTTTGTTTATGAGTTGTCAAGAAAAAAAAGTCAATCAAACGCTATTTCTCGATAGAAAGATCATACCCTCTTTCCCATTTAAGGCGAACGGATGAAGACATCGAATAACCAATCGATTCCAATCAATTTCATTCGTTGATGTTGAATGAGAGTGGACATATAGTATATTTCAGGGCGAGTAAAAAACTCCATGGCACTACTCGTGAACGATATTTTTCCGTAGTGAGTTTTACTTTTACAAGTTTGGGGAAAGGCCAATACCAATCCCCGGATGAGGAAAAGAGAAAGTCAGTCCGGAAAAAATTTTTACGTTGACTCAGATTTTTAGGGTGAAATTGCGTTTAGAAAACAAATGACGCCGCGTTGAAATCCATTGCGGGTTTTCTCACCCGGCCATGATAATAGAAGAGAATTTTTTTCAGATCATTGTGCATTAAATGCCCAATCGATTGTCATAATTTTCATTTCTCCAGCCGAAGTAAGAGAAGAGATATGAATTTTCACAAAGAGGGCGATTTGCTGTGGATTTCTGCTTTGTTGACGAATAACTTTTGAAAATGCAGTTTTACAAAAAATGAAATGGGTTTCAATTCACACCTCTACAAATAGTAGTTCTCAGAATAAAAGTGACTCACGGTGCAAGCAATCGGCTTTTGTCCGTCATAAATTCTCTTAATTTTTCTTGTATGTCTTGATGAGCTACCACTGATTACTGAGACAGTTCAATCTCTGCACATAGCCCGGGACTGTTGGTTAAAATTGCATTAATATTGTGTTCATCTTGACATTAAGGGAACTTACTTAATTTTTTTTGTAGCGTCTTTATAACAAAACTTTACCAGCATGGACCAGCTCTGTTTATCCGGATAAAATGCAGCCAATGGTGAATTTTGCGTTTACGGCATATGCACATACTAAAATTCTGCAGAGATTAAGAACGGGTAAATATATCTTACAATGAATTTAAATGGGACATTGTGATGATGTAATGTTGACATGCTTGTTAATTCTTGTCTTATCGTGAGGCGGAGGACAGCACGGGGGAAATGATTTACAAATTTCTTTCTTTTTTTCATCATTATTTTACATCGCTTCGACCCGGTTAGGGTATGCTGCGATGATGATCAAGACTTTAAATGATTGGATCTCACCATTCTACCCGGCCGGGTTTTGAACTCGGAACCTTTCTCGCATGTGAGGCAACGAACTTACCCACTGCGCCAAGCCGCCGGGCTTCAAATTTCTTTCTGGAAGAAATTTCCAACAAAACATTTCTCATAATATGTTCTTCTATCCAGTGATTATATTCTGCGACTGTATGATAATAATTCAGTAGCGAAGTGGTAAAAGGAGATAAGTCAATTTTGACTATTGATCAGTTGTCAATCAATATCTCGGAATCTAAGGGAGATAGCGAAATTTTTGTTATAACCTTTTTTGTGAAGCCGATTGAGTAGTACAACAAATGTGTATTAGAGATGAAGCTATGATATTAGGGTAATTCGCTTATATAACTACTCCAACGAATTTTTCGAGGAAGCAGAATTATTTTGTCATTTAATACAAATAGAAATTAAAATCAAGAGAAAAATTGAGTCGGACTCAATTAGGTAAATAACTTGAAGGGGGTGACTGGGTCAAATTTTGGCCTTTGTGGGGTTCATACCAGCTGCGTCCCCGTCGCGAACCCTGGGTAATGCTAAGTGCTGGTGAAGCTTGATACTTTAAGAATAAGTGCTTCATTACACGTTGAATTTATATGAACACCTCATAAATGATATTTCATAAATGCTTTTAGAAGGGAAAGCGCAGAATGGGAAGTCCCGTACATCTACATGAGTATACATATTATTAAGTGTGATAGCTCAAAGGAGGTTAAATTCATTTATAGCAACTAGGTTCCGACACAATATACGTCAAATTACTTCAAGTTCAATATAAAAAAGTTGATATTTACCTATTAGTATCCCGAATGAGTAGGAGTTGCTATTCTACCTAATTACCGATATTAGGGCGGATTGGGGGGAAGTGATCTAGCGAGGGTGAAAATTAAGAAACACGTGAATTACGAAACCCACTAATGATGTACTTTATTTGTGGCGTAAGTCACGAGTCTTGAAATATTAAAGGGTAGACTGTTTGTTGAATGTCTCGAATTAATTGATGACTGTCTTTACAATTCACTGAATAATCTCTCGGTATTGAATAGATAAAGAACTCAAAAACCCAAGGAGGAGGAGTGATGAGAGACCTCTTAGGAGGTCAATCCTTCTGTAAGGATTTGGTGCGTTTCAAACAATGTGATTATGAAAATTTCGGTAACTCCCTTAGATTCCGAGAAATTGATTGAAAAGTGGTCAATAGTCAAAATTGACGTATCTCTTTTTACCACTTAGCCACTTTTCCTCGTCCGGGGATCGGTATTAGCCCTTCCCCAAACTCGTAAAAGTGAAATCACTACGGAATCGTTCACGACTAGTGCCATGGGATTTTTTTACTCGCGTGGTTGGCCAGTCCTCGCCTTCGGCTCGGACGCCAACTCCCCGCAAGTAAAAAACCTCATGGCACTCATCCTGAAATATACTATAATTGGCCTGGTGGTTGTCAGTAAAAAATTCCAAAGATCAAATTTTGCTTGTTAACGTTCCGATCTCCAATGGAGTTCCTCTTCAGGACAACCCAATCTATATTTTTATTTCCTGCAAAACAAAACCTTAATTAAACTTTCAACATTTCAGCTTTCAGTGTATGTAAAAGATGAAAAAACAGTTATGAAAGTTCAATTTAAATCACATGAGAACTCACCAATTAAAAGTGAAACATCATGAAGTAAAACATCATTGGAATCGCTCTCCGTAACACAAAACAACCGTAAAAAAATGACGTGCCCACGACCATAGCCCACGACTCAATCATCGACTATGGTAAATTTAATACCGATACTATTACTAGGATTGTTGACAATGCATTTTGATTCGCAATAATCTTTTCCTTTTGTGTTGCGAAGAGTGTTTCCAATGATGTTTTACTTCATGATGTTTCACTTTTAATTTATGCATTCCCATATGTTTTAAACTGACCTTCATAACTGTTCTTTATCTTTCACATCCACTGAGAGCGTGTTGAATTTCAATAGAGGTTTTGTTTTGCAGGAAATAAATAAAGATTAGGTTGTTGCACACAGAGGATCTCCCTTGTAGATCGAAACGTTGGCAAGCAAAATTTGATCTTTTTTGATTTTTACTGACGACCGCCAGGGCAATTAATGTAATTTCACAATTTTCTCCTAAATCGCCTTATTACACTGATAGAAAGATTAGTTATTTTAAACGAATGGATTTGGTTGGAGACGAGGGTCTATTTGGTCTCACCAAATGTTCATTCGTTAATAGTTAACAAATGCACATTTGAGGAGCCTTGTTTGACTCGATTTACACTTTTAAAGTGAACCATTCCTGAACTATCAACGAATATTCATTTGGTCATATTCAACTCTACCATTCGTTAATAGTTAACGAATTTCATTTCGAATAAATAAATCAGTCTATCAGTGTATCAAAATGATTAGATCGGGAAGCATAATAACTTGTTCATCACTCCAGTTCTAAATTTTCTAAGATCTCTAAATGGTTAATCATTTATTTTTATTCTCTCAGGATTACTAATGAAAGAAATGGTGACGCACATGATCCAGAAATCAAAAAGCTCTCTCGTACCCGACAGAAAGTTGTTCATGTACGCAGCACATGACGTAACAGTTGCGAATCTCCTCATGACTTTAGGGGTCTTCGACCCCCATCGACCACCCTTCGCAGCAACCGTCCTTATGGAATTGAGGCTGAATTCGAAGAAGCAACATGTTGTAACGATCTCGTACAAGAATTCATCAGCAGAACCGACTCTACTGACCCTACCAGGATGCACTCCAGCCTGTCCTCTCTCTCAATTTGTGAATTTAACCAAAGACGTAATCCCAGAAGACTGGGACAAAGAGTGCTCAATACCACGACATTCGTCCTCCACTAATGGCATCGAGAGTTCCTCATGTCTGGTAATAATTATATTGGGAATACGTATGTATTGGGAATTGTACAAAATCCAAAAATAATTCCTTGTGCGATGTGTGAACACAATATTTACTGTCCCTCACGGACTCTGAAATACTCATCAAAAGTTGATTGTGAATATTTTATTTGATTATTTCATAATTATTTTTAAAAATTTCTATATTATTAAAATCCAAATCGACTTCTGGTGATAAAAATTTGGTACTCGAAATTCAGACTCCACAATTAAGGTTCACAAGGATAAAAATAATGTACATGAGGCTCAGAATGCGGGTTACTAGGTTCAGAATCAGGGTCATGAGGTTCAGAATAAGGGTCAGGAGGGTCGGAATAAGGGTTATGAAGGTCAAAATAAGGGTCAGGAGGGTCGGAATAAGGTTCATAAGGGTCAGAGTAAGAGTTACGAGGGCCAAAATGAGGGTCACGAGGGTCAGATTAAAGGTCACAAGGGTGGGGGTCATATATGGATCATATGTGGGTCATATGGGGGTTGGCGAGCAGAGCGAGCAGGGGGCGTAGCCCCCTAGTATTATTATAAAATCATTGTATTGAAAGAATTATTAAATTGAAAAAAAAAAAGTTTTCACTGTGATTACTGATGGATACGCCATTTCTTATAAATTCCTCACGAAGAATCCCGAAGAATTTTGAATTTCATAAATTTTTCGCATCTCTAGAGTAGAGTAAAATTTACGAAATTCAAAATGCATTTATTCATAATCTATTGCATATAAAGTAAAATACATGCTCAACTTTATTCTTTGGAGTGTAACGAACATTAAAAAAAAGCTAAAATTGTATGAAACCTACGGCGCAATAAGGAGCATTTTGAAGGAAAAACAGGAAAAAATTGAATTTTTCGTGGTTATACGGGGCAAAATCGATCAGGTCCGCCATTCTCTCCAGATTTTCTCTAGTTATTTTTGAACTTTTCTCTAGTTATTCCCAGCGATCATCATCAATATTAAATTTCTGTAATATTACAAGAATTTGACCCTTACATTAATGAAGGTTTAAAATATGTTGATTCAAATTTTCAAATAATATAATATTAATAATCAAATTTTTTTACGAATAATGATGTATTTAAAATTTGTTAATCTCTTAGTCTTTGTTAACTGTAAATTTACTACTAAGTGAATAATTCAAATTTCTTGAAAGGGGATTTTCGACTACACAAATAATCGTCAATCTTCCTACCACAATTATTGATTGATAAAATAGTTGAAAATTTGAATTGATGATACTTAAGTACTAAAAAAATTTCAAGAGTGATGTGATCTAATTAAGGGCTACAATATTTAACCGTAATAAAATATTACAAATTTGGCTACCCTTGGTTATTCCCATATTCAGTCATAATATCACAAACTGTTTAATGGCTTAAATTTCACCGACGTATCCCCTTAACTCAGTTGCCGTGACGCCCCCTCTCCTTTATTCCTCAATTTCGTGCAAAATGTCACTTGAATGATGCTGAACATGCATGATTTTTTTTCAAATTTTTGTTGAGCTATTTAATTGACATATTTGATGATTAAAAATGGTTGAATCTATAGTGTGGACTGTACCAAACTGTAAAGGATACTTGGATATCCTTAACGGTAGCTTAAGGGCTTTTCCTTTATAGTATTGCGAGAGAAATGAAGTCAGGGGGTTGAAATATATTCCTCTATAAAAAACAGCATCATATACATCAATTCAATGGCCTTTTACATTCTCGAATTTATTCCTGAAACTCGAAGTCATCATTGATCATGGAAAAATTTAGAAATAAAAGTACATGTCTTGAAGTTGAACATTTCATGAAGTTGGGGGATTCCCGGAATTTTCCGCTAACGACCAAAGATTGCGGGGACTCCCCCAATTCCCTACTGGCAGTTGACGAGGCAAAGTGGAGGCGCATGTCCCAACGACAAGGTCACGCACTCCACTTTCGTGTCAAGCCACGAAGACTGCAGAACTTGACATCGCAAAAGAGATGAGGACTTCGAGATAAGTTGACATGTATAGAAATATTTAGTAGGAACCCCTGGTATTTTCTCTAAGAAATTCTATGAGAACTCGAAAAATTCTCAGATGTCTACTAAATCCTATTGAAGTTTTATAAAAAATCCGGTTAGTTTTTGGCTCTAATTGTCATTGAAGATGATTGAAAATTATGAAATTTCAACGTGCGATTTTTTGTGCAAAAAAAAGATGAAGAGTACTTTGACTGGTGCTGGAGTTCGAAGGAGAGTATGTTAAGGTGTTTCGTCTGTAGATCACCGAGGAGTAAAACGGAAAGGGAGTCTTATTGTTCTCGAGCTCTGATTCAATCGCTGAGTACGGAATTTGCCAATTTTCAAGTAACTATTTAAGTGTGCATTTGAACATTTTTTGAATATTGATTTTATTTATCAAATGATTTTTTTCTCATCACCTACGGGTGTCAAATAATTTTTATTAGATTTTATTCGAATTATTGACATAAAATTAAAATGCATTTCGAGTTGGTAACCCTGTCGACTATTTTCTCTTTCTTAGTTCCATGGTCCAACCCATAGCTTTTCCATGATGCTCACTGACATTCGAATCACGCGCCTGCGCGTGAGGGCGCAATTGCCCGAAATTCATTATTTTCCGCATCATTTTTTCAAATAACTTTCTTATGAAAGATGGAAAAAATCTGAAACTTATAGGTGTTCTTGAGAAAGATTTGATTTATCACCCAGTAGTTTTTCCGCAATAGTTCATTATTTTTTTGGGTGCCATGGAAATTTCCCAAATTGAGAGTGGGACAACCTCGGAGGCTATAGCTGAAGGGGTTACAGAAACATCCAAATTTCATTTTTTTTTCTTGAAACTGAGATCTGATGAAAATGGCCAAAAACTGTCAATGGTGCAGTATACATAGAAATTTCTTCCATGAATTTTCCAATTTTTTTCATTATTTAGACTTTTCAACCAAAAAACCTTAAGCCAGGGCTTCCAAGTGGCACCTGGTGCTACCTACACAGCTACCGAAACCCCTATGGGTTAATTCGGAGTTTACTTGGTGAGTGATGGCAGCAGAAAAACCGTATCCCTGCAAAATCAGGGCCTCAGTTTTCAGCCACTTGGCAGCACTCCCAGAAATTGGTCCCAACTATTTCCTTGCTGACATCATTGTCATCATTGGTACCCTGGAAATTGTCTTTGACGAGGTTGATAGATAAATGGAATTGCTTTTGGAAACAAGTCAATCAATTGTATAATATTATAGAAGTGAATTATAAAGAAATGAAGTGCCAATGAAATTCTGTGAAGAAAATTTATGGACGAAGACGTGGTATTGGACACATAAATATCATAAAAAATAGTATATTATTGCCGGAGGACAGGTAAACCGTGAATTTTAACTTCCCATTGTTCGGTTAGCACCCGCTTCTGGTGCTTGGGGCATAAAATATTAATTCATGGCCCTAAGACTGTAAAACAACAACAACAATATGATCAATGTAACAATCGATCGTTACATCGATTTCCTCGGTTAAATCGCAGTTTCCGGGCCCAGACATAAAATATTGTATGTCACGGCGATAAAACTATTTCCTGACTCGTGTGATTAAAATCTAAAATTAAAATATAAAGTCACATTCGTCAGAAACTACTTTCATCGCCTGCTGACATAATGTACTATTACATCACGTGGTACGATTCGCGGCATTTTAAGAAACTCCAAAACATGCCCGAGTCGAGGATTTGGTTCTGATTGGACGTACACAGGTCTTTCAAGATCTCTCCAGACCTAGATGGACCTGGTAAGTCCTAATCAGTTCTGCGACGTACTTTTCCAGAGACCTTTCGAATCCTCAGTTCTTTTCGGTCCTGAGAAGTCCTCCTCGATGCTACCGAGAACGCGTGATTTTACGACCGGGTGAAGGGGAAGGCATGTATGCGGAGGGTTGAAATTTGTAGCCAACGAGGAGACAGGGTTGCAGAATATATTTTAG